ATCCGGAATTGTCTGCGTGCAATGTGGAGATTCAGACTGCGAAGGTCCAGAATGGGCCTGAACCGGGAAGTACAGGGAATAATGCCCCCCCTCTCTGTCTTGTGTGCGCACAGCAGACACTGCCTGTTTTTGCACCATGGCCTGAACCATCCCCTCGGGATGATAGCTTTGCCTCTCTTATGCCTGTGAACGGAGGAGGGATGCTGTAAAACTGGAGTGAATAACCCAGGGTGTTTCTCAATCGCGAGTACGCTTGCTTGGTAGCACATGTCTTCCGAGCGTCATGCTTCAGAAGCGAGGCAAGAATACTTCCTGGCATTTGGAAAACAAAGAGTGGAACAGGCTAGCAAGTGTGCAGGTGTGCTTCATCTGAGAGGCCCCGCCTTACATTTTCCGCAACAGATTTGGGGAAATGGTCCGTGCGCAAAGCATTGTGGGGATTTTAAGACTGGAGAGTCTACACATGTGCAGCCTCGAAATTTCTCCAAACTAAGTACGCCGGGCTCGGTAGATTTCCAAGTATGCTGGACATTGGAACAGTACTTCGGCGGCACTCGATGACGTAGTATGCTTGAAATAGTGGCTCTCGAGCAGCATTACTCGCGATTGAGAAACACCCCCAGTCTCAGCGTCCTGTTCATCCACTCCGTTAACACGCAGCTGCGCTTCAATTCCCCATAACACTGTGTTAAGAGGATGTGCAATCAGCTGTGGGGCCCCAGCAATAAAGCCGTGGTACTCTCTGGCGACCCGTCCCGCCGCAAAACTCCCCGCGAAGGGAAGCTCTGCCCATGGGGGGGTCGACACAGAAAAGGCCCGACTCTCTACTGAGGACCGTGGGAGCGCGCGCTCCGTCATGATGAAGTCATTAAATTCTTGTGACAGTCTAAGAATTGGTTTGAACATGTTATGGACCCGACATTGACCCAGAGCCACAGACTGCAGGAGGTATGCTGCCAAACCAGAAAGGCTCATCTGACGTCAACAAAAGTCTGACGAGCAGGTATGTGGAAAGAAGCATTGCCTAATCTGTGTTCTAACAAGGGTAATTATAAAAGTATATTTTGTTCATTCATCATAACTGATTTTGAAGCCACATTGTGAAGTTAAGAGAGAGTGGCTATGACCTTTATATATGCCCTCTGCCCCCTGAGTTATTAAACTAAGTGGTACCTGCCGTATGCAGTGCAGCTCTGACATGGTGCGTTCCTGTTTGGAGCGAGCCAGTTCCAGCAGCTCGTCTCTCCAGCTGTCTCCCTCACCTGGTGACAAACATGAAGTGCTGCAATTATCATTAACATTATTAACATTTGTTTATCACAGCTACTGCACAGATTAAAATCAAGATATGTAGGCTGCAGGGAAAACGGGATTATAAACATTGTAACTCACTTGACTCTTAAACCAAACATGGTTGACATTATCTCCAAGTATGCTTTTCACTGTACCACAAACTACTGTATGGTTTAGTGCAGACATTATTCATCTCTCTGATCATTTCAAAAATCAAATATTCATGACTCCGGCTTCTCAGTGAGGAATTCTGTTTTTACTGTTGTTATATTATTAAAAGAAAAAGTAATAAATAGATGTATTGATAATACAAATAATTCTTAGCTACAGCACTTGAATAATTCATTATAATGATTTTTTTTTTTTTTTAAATGAAGAAGATTTCAAGAACCTGAAAACACGTAACATCAAAAAGAAAATGATATCAGTCAAATAACAGCAATAAATATCGCAATATAAAAACAAATGTGCAATGGATTTAAATTCTTAAGAAATAAAAACTGAAAATTGACAATATATCTTAATATTTCTACCAAATAAATAGCTTTGAATCATTGATAGGAAGAGGATGGATGTGGAGTGCTGCAGATTATTGTACCTGACAAGGCCACATCTCTGCGCAGCAGCTGGAGCTCCTGTTTCAGACGGATGATCTCTTCCCTCTGAGTGCTGCTCTGTGTGACCTGCTGCTGCAGATCCTCTACAAACACAGTGGCAAATAATACATGAATAGCTGAAATGATGAGACACTTAATGAATTAGTCAATCAACACAAAATAAAAGCATCAGTTTTTTTTATTGATGTACCTTTAAGGTGTGTGATCTCATGCCTGGCCTCTTTGCAGCGACGTTTGTTTTCCTCTGAGTCTCTCTGGAGTTTGCTCTCTCGGGAGCAACTCTCCGTTAGCGACGTCTCCAGATCTCGTAGCCTCGCTGTGAGGGCGACCACATGACCAGAGGCCTCAACTACATCTTTCTCCTGATGCGGGGAAAAAATAATATTAACCAACTAGCAGAATATAAAAAAATCAGACTGATACTGATCAGTATTCATGGAAAAAAAATGTTGTAATACTATATATACCGTACCTTGAGTTTGAGCATGGAGCTCAGTTCTTCCTCCCTGACTTGCAGAGAGCCTACTTGAGTGGACAGAGCCATGACAGTGGAGTTCAGACTCTGGTTCTTCTCCTAAGAGAAACCACATACAATTACACCTAAAAGCAGAGATACTAAGTCCCAAGGCAGAAATATAATAACTTTGATAAAGGAGATTCTGGTTTATAAAAGAATCCTGCTATATGGCATTGGTAGCAATCCTGGTGCTATTTGTCTGCCTTAAGATGTAAGCAGATGTTTATATAGAGGATATAAGTGTGTATTAGCAAATAACTTGTACCTCAAAGTCTTGATATTTTTGGCTGATGTTCTGCTGCTCACAGAGCTTCTGTTTGGCTAAGCTGAGCTCCTTCTGGACCTCCTCCTCCCTGGTTTCCACCACCCACACACGCTTAGTCAGGACTCTGATCACCTCGTTACGCTTCTGCAACTCATCTGCACAAAAAAACAATTTCATAATGTGGGGCTACCCACCAGTCACATCAACACATCTTGGGCTTGAGAATTAATGTGAGGCTGATTTATGAAGTTACTAGAAACAAAACCAACTTGCAACAATTTTGATGATAAAAATAATATTAAATTGAAAAGCTTTGATTTTGAAATGGTTGGTCGGATAAAACACGGAATTTGAAGTCAGGCTCTGGGAAATTGATTATGAAAATGTTTTTTAGTTGCAACAATTTAACAGAGAAATTTGTTATCTTGAGCATAATTTGCAGTTTTGATGCAAAAACATTGAAGCCATAAATAGCAACCATGGGCTGGATGTGTATTAAATCAAGGAAGATCTCTGTGTCCTCACCTTCTAAACGGGCACACCTTTGCTCCAAGGCGAGCACCCTCTGCCGGTCTTGTTCCCAGGCAAGAAGATGCTTGTGATGGGAGGCAGCCATAGTGTTCAGCTCCCTTTCCCTGTCCTTCAGCTCCACCATCAGCAGCTGGAGCTCCCTCCTCTGCCTCTGGATGGTGCAGCCACTCGGGTCATTCACAGGAAACTTTTCCAAAAGCACACAGGAAGACACATCAAGCTAATGTCACCATAATAAAGCCCACTTTAGAGTATGTGTCTGAGTAACAATGCACAATCTACACTGTAAACAGTCAAATCATAGCTCCTAAAAATCTCACTACAGTTTTCTGTGAGCTGGGTGGACAGAGGTGTAAAGTAACTAAGTAGATTTACTCAAGTAATGTACTTAAGTACAATTTGAGATAATTGTATTTTACTTGAGTATTTCAATTCTATGCTACTTTTTACTTCAACTCCACTACAATTCAGAGGTAAATCGTTTACTTTTACTCCACTACATTTATTTTGTACCTTTAGTTACTTTACAGATTTTGATTAATGATGTGAAATATAAACAACACTTAAATAAGACTTTAGTTACAGCTGTAGTCAATTCACAAACTACCTTACAGTATACAAAGTAATTAAACCTAACTGCACCTTTGCAAACTTTGATAGACACATTCATGCATCAATAATTATAATCTAAACAAATAATCTATATTGGTACATTTGATGCTTATACTTTTGTACTTTTACTTGAGTAACAGTTTTTAAGAAGTTGTACTTGTAACATAATATTCCTACACAATACTCCTACTTTTACTCAAGTACAAGATCTGAGTACTTCTCCCACCTCTGCTGCTGGTATAGGAGGTGTTAGTGTGGCCCACTGTTTTGCTGTGCTGTCCATCTTGAAGCTGCTAGAGACAGAGAGTGGGATGGCATCCAGAGAATCACCACCATTTATCTGAAAAGTAGCACGTACACACATCACAATCAGACAATAAGAATGCATTTATTTCTTAAGTGGATTCAACAGAAATGTCACTTACCTTTTTAACTGGTGTGCTGTGCCAGAGCTCAGCTGAAGTATCTGCAAGTTAAAGTGGATGTTGGATAGTTGACATTTCCTGTCATTCATTTCGAATAAAAGACACACATGTGATTATTGTTGGTAAAGAAAATGATAGAGTTATTGTTTACCATTTGACCAGGGGAAACATGCTGAAGCTCTTCCATTTACTTTCCCTTCGTCCATCTACAATAGTTACATCCACTAATATTTCAGCAACTCGTATTATGTGTTACCTTCATTGATGTTGTTTAGAGCTTGTACTGGGCATCTTTTGAGGAGCATGCCAGCTGGCTTAAGTTAGTAAGGCTAACGATAAAACCACCAAAGTTAATTTATAGTCAGCAACATAGGCTAAACAAGTTACACGCTTATATCCTATAGCATTTATCTCCAAAACGTATTAAAGTATCGTTGGTTGAATATAAAAGTGTCTCTAAAAAACTGAAATTGCTAACTAGCTAACGTTAGCTTCTTTTTACTTTTGAACGTAAATGATCGAACTGGGAAAACAACGACGATTACGTCACGCCAACGTACATCCCCCAGTATTTTTACACAATATTTTCACTTAATTTAAAAACGTTGATGATAAAACTAAACACTTTACTGGAACAGTTTTATTTGGAGTGGAATCGTTTTAATTTGACTTATTTTGACATTTTATAAAAACAGTTTAGTAAATTCGTCCTCCGGCCACCAGGGCGCGCTGTAGCCGATCAACGCTGCGAACCAGCAGCCACTTCAACAACTACAAAAAACAAGAACCGCTACTAGGCGTGCTCAAAGTACGCCAACTACACCTTATTCAATAAGAATGGTTTTCTAAGAGTCAAACTAACGTTAATAATGCAAGTGGATTTACTGAACAGACATCAGTTTTAAGAGGATATTTCACAGGGTACGTAACTCGACATCTCTTTTATTTGTATTCTGTTATTGAATAGCAGAACCTGGCAAGTTAGCGTTAGCTCATTTAGCATGCTAAGCTAAAGCCCCATTAAACTGGTGCTGACGGTGACAGCTGGGTAAGTCAACTGTACCTGATGAATGAAACCTCTCAAACTAAATTAGCGTATATTTTAACAGAAAAGTACAGTCTGTCTATATGATCATATTGTCCACGGCAAAAGTAAATCATATACTTTACACGTAGTTTAGCTAATTGGTGTATTTATTAAATCAGCCGCATGTGTTAGCCAGCTAACGCTAGTAATTCTGATGACTGCTACGATGCTATCAAAGCTACTATTTATTTCGCTGCTGATTTTTGTGTATTAAATTAGCCCCCTTGTGACTGACCTGCCATCTATTTCAGTTCACATACGCCTGTGTCATGCTGTTGGCTAGCTTGCTGCTGCTCATGTTACTGATCTGTGATTTGGGCAGGCTAGCATGATGAAATATTGGCAGGAGCCTTGTTCACTCGTGCCAACAGTCAGAAAATATATTTTACTTAAATATAGTAGTAATATCCAATAGTGATAATACAGTTTGAAGGGAAATATCATACATTCCGATTTTACCTTAATTCTAGGCATACTAGTGTTGGCATCAACATGTACCTAAAGTGCCAAAAGTAAAATAAATCATTCTGCAAAATATTATTCTATACGAATGTAATTGTTTATGCATTTATATGTAAGCGTCTTTAATGTCTAAGCTGGCAAAGGTGGAGTTTCACTACTCTATTTACTCTTTAATAATACGTCATAATATATTTGTTTATTTTGTATTATTCTGCATCATAACTATTAACTATAGTAGTCAGTTAAATGTAGGAGTCAAAAGTTCAATATTCGCCTGTGAAATGTTTAATGTAGCAATAGATGGAATTAATAATGTAAAGTAGTAGTACAAGTACCTCAACAGTGTACTTGTGTACTCCACTTACTACAGTAAATATACGTAGTTACATTTAACTGCTGCCTACAGCAGAGTCTGATAATAACACATTTTATCACTTGTTGTTGGGTTTGAATGAAGAGTGAACACTTTATTTTATAGTCTGATTCCCACCAAGATTTATATTGGCCTTATGTTTTTTCCATTTCTGTCTTCTATCCAGATACGTTGTGATGGCTACTACTGAGATGGAATCCGGTTCTTTGGAAAGCAAACCAGATTATACTTATAGTTCTAATTCAAAATATCCACTGAAAGTTCTTTACTGTGGAGGTACAGTATATAACGTTTTACTCAGTTTGTCTTATTCCCATACTATACTTTACCACACTATATGATATCATACTACATTATGTTGTACCTTCTTGCTAAATTACATACTATATTTACATACATTATATATTAATACAGATTGCTCTCAGTAGAATGACTTATTCACAATATATATTATTCTGGGGTACACTGTTTACATATTTACTGCACTCACTACCAAGCACACCATGGCCCTTTCTCATTTCTCTAACTCCCCTTCTCGACTCCTATCCTCGAGACTTAGTCCCGCCCACAGGAGATGCGAGCGGAGGACTGAGGAGGGGAACCGAGGAGAGAGGAGGGGAAGCAGCAGGCGGTTAGAGAAATGAGAACTCCTCTCCTCTGAGCGGTCATTTTAAAGAGACGTCCATTAATGATGACAGGAGGCACAGCAGCCCTCTGTCTGATGGACAGATGTGTTCATGACGACTTATATATTCACTAGGGATGCTCCGATCGATCGGTCACCGATCGAGATCGGCCGATACTCACTCTCTACCGATCGATCAGTGCTCTCTAAACATGCCGATCGCGAGAGCCGATCGCATGACGTAAAATACATGACACTTTTCTCTGTGTGCGGCAAAACAAGCTCGCCAAAATGTCTTCACCGGTCTGGCATTATTTTAAGGTGTCCGAAAAAGACAGTAAAATAGCGGTATGCAACGTGTGTGAAGCAGAAATCCTGCAGCTCCGCCCGCCGGACAGGTAAGCGCAGCGAAACACACACACAGGGAGAACCAGACCGCAGTTCATTTCCTCATATTCCAAACGAGAAATTACGGTAGCAAATCACCCGGTTCTTTACGACCAGAACTATTAACGGGATACAAACCGGAGGAACCAGGCATGGAGGGAGGTGGCAGAGACAGTGGGTGAAACTGGTACGTTTTCGCCTGTTTGGGGAGTTTATATATATATATATTGCTCGCATAAAAACCCCGGGGTTTTTTGCTTTGTATGTCGGGGGCGGGAGATTCATGTGATTGGTTGTTGGTCGCGTTGCTCGCAAAAAATCCCCAAGCTTTCAGACACGCCCAGCTCCAAGATTTTCAAGATTTTTGAAAAGCTGCTGTGTGGACGTACCGTAAGAGTTAGACCTAACACACTTAGTTATTTTATCTACCTCTGGAACAAGCTAAACTAGTTATTATAAATATTTATTCTTCATTGTCGGGTCACTCATTACTGGATCAGTGAGCTGCATGAGATACTGACAGGTTGTCAGGAGAGTGAGAGAGAGGGGAGAGGGAGAGAGGAAAAGAGAGCGCTTCCGCTCATTTCTCCCGTGTTATTATCCAAAGTGAATGTAAACTTGAATAATGTACATCATTTGAATGTAATAATTAAGTTGATTGTTGTTTGTGGAAGCTCCAGTGAATGAGCCCCATTAACTGAGTTTAAACATCACTTTAAATGGAAGATTTAAAGTGATGTTTAAATCTTCCATTTAGGCCCCGCCCACTCGATCGGATCGGCGATCGGTATCGGCCGATACTGATTCCGGCGATCGGCCCCGAAATTGGCGATCGGAGCATCCCTAATATTCACAGTGTGTTATAATGAGACAATAACAGGCTACACACACACACACACACACACACACACACACATATATATATATTGATATATATATATTGATATATATTGATATAAATATATACAATTTCAAAATCAAACAGAGCACTCTCATAATAATGTAACACTATCAGAGACTGGATATATCCCCCCCCCCCCCCTCTGGTCACTACAATGAGGAAAATAAATTACGGGCCAAAAGTTGTATTTACAAGTATTAAAAGTAAGCAGAGGACACCAAACCAACTGAGACCTGTCTGTCCGCTGCATCTACGAACACACTGTACCACACACACCTACACCACACACACCTACACCACACACGCACAGCTCCTAACCTAAAGCATATAATCAGGCTACAGCCGTTGTGTATTTTATTATGTGAAGCACTAAATGGTTTTAGAAAAATATCGACTCTTTGTTTGTAGATATCTACTAAACTAAAGCAAATAAAGAGAGTAGGCCTGTTATACTCAGTGATATATATTATACACACTGCTCTGCTTTCTGCACGGACCTCACAGCTGTTCTCGTCACGACTCTTTGCAACATCTCTGTTCCGGGAAATGCATCCACGAAGGAGCCGTGGAGGACCCATCAGTGTGTCCTCGGTTATAGCTCCTCCAGAGAGCCTCCTCGACGCTCGATCATCGATCCTCGAAGTGCATTTAGAGAAATTAGATGTCCTCCAAATGGTGCGCTGAAATTCATTTCCGGGTCACTACCGGAGGACCGAGGAGTCGAGGAGGGGGATTTGATGAAATGAGAAAGGGCCCAAGTCAATGCCTAATAAACGTTGTCTTTCAAGGGGCAATAGACTACCCCAATCCCCAGTGTCAGAGCCACTCTCATAAAGACTACGACACACTGCATTTTGTATATGAAAGTTACTTCAGTTGTTCTGCCATTTCCATTACCGGGGACTGCTAAGAAGTTATAGTGATACTCTTTGGTGACTGGGGATACTGCAGTAACTACAAAGGAGCTATTCTCTTGTGGTTCTGTACACCCAGAGGATGAAACTTTTCCTTTGTGCCATTTAAAAAGAGCTTTCATTTACCCTGGGAGATCTACCTGGTGGCAGAGTTGCGAGGCTTATAGGCGCCCCATCTACAGTAACCACTACTAGTGTTATTATTCTTGCCTTATGCTTGCTACTTCAATTGCTCTTGCATTCTTATGTTCTTATTTTAGTTGTTTTAAATCTGTTATTGTGTTATTTTTACTTCTCTTTCCATCAGTACCGTTTCCTATCTTTGTGCTGCTTCCACATCTGAATTTTACCCAATGGGATCAATAAAGGCTTTTGTTATTTTATCTTTACAAGATGTTTGTATGTAAGATTTCAAAATGTGACGGTCTTTATTTTTTTGTTTCTTTGCAGTGTGCTCTCTGCCTACAGAGGTAAGTTTGAATTCACAAACAAAAAACGGATATATAACTTTTGTTCATGCATACAGTCTTCATTTACAAGTGAAACTATATTTAGGTCATTCTCTAACATATTGAATCTACACTGTTGTGTCTGCAGTACTGTGAGTACATGCCCGAGCCAGCCAAATGTAGGCAATGGCTTGAGAAGAACTTTCCAGATGTGTTTGCCAGGATGACAGTCGGTGAGTGAGCCATTTCAGATTTTAACCAAAATAGTTTTTCTTTAAATAACCCAAAGTCTTCATGCTGAACCTTAAAAAGGTGTCACCTAAGAAAAATATATGTGCAGTATAGATTTGATGGATTCATTATTAATGCATTGTTAAATAGTGTGGATCGGGACATTATGTCAACATTTCGGAATCGTCACATGATGTGAAATGTGTTTACCACGTTATAGCTGGGCAATATATATACACTTATCGTCTTAAGTGCTGTACTGACGTCAAACTTAAAATGTTTAGCAGCCGGGCTAGCCTTTTACTAGAATATTCAGGTGTGCCTATATAGTTTTATTGCAGGATTGGTTTTAATGTCTTCCTATTGTCCTTCTGCACTTTAGGCCCGGCATCGAATGCTCCCCTGCAGGAAGTTGGCACTGGAGACTCTCCCCCTGGAGGCGAGGAGGAGGAGAAAAAGAAACAGAAGAGAGGTATAATGTCAAATGTCAGAGGCATTTTCTATTAGGGTTTTTATTGGGTGTCACAGTGTTAGTTGTACATTTATTTATTTGTGTCAATACTTAGAGTTTTCATGGTTAACCTGCCTCGTTCAGTTCTGCTAGATTTGGTTACCTGGCATGCATCATTTTTTGTTGTGTTCTTGAGCACGTGAAGACAATTTGAATATTATAGTATCAAAAACTGTGTGACTTAATTACATGTTAGACGCTTTTATCCAAAGCGACTTACATACATTCAGTACTGTGGACAATCCCCACAGGAGCAATTTGGGGTGAAGTGTCTTGCCCAGGGACACAACGACATGCTGACAGCAGTGGGGTTTGATCCTGTGCTCCCCTGATCACGAACACCAACAAACTAGTGCACTGCGCCACAGCCTCCCTGAACTTAATGAAAAGATTAAGAATCATAACTTTACTCTGGTCTGGATTTGAATATGTGGCTTTGTTGGTTTATTGTGCTTTATATTATGATTATACTCAACATCCCAGGTTGTGTGGAGTTTTATAATGTAAAGCCAAACAAAAGGAACAACTATTTTCCTTCTACTCTTCTTAAGGTGGAAGAGGCCAGATCAAACAGAAAAAGAAGACTGTGCCTCAGAAAATCACAATAGCAAAAATCCCAAGAGCCAAGAAGAAATATGTAACAAGAGTGTGCGGCATGGCAACATTTGGTAAGATATTTGTTGTGCTTTTGTCATTCTCAACATCGCCTAATTCTCTTTTTGCTTGAATCTTAACATATGTCTTGTGTTGACTCTTGCAGACATTGAACTCAAAGAGGCTCAGCGATTCTTTGCCCAGAAATTCTCTTGTGGTGCCTCAGTGACAGCAGAGGATGAAATAATCATTCAGGGAGACTTTACAGACGACATAATCGACGTGATTCAAGAGAAGTGGCCTGAGGTGAGCTGTCTGAAATCGAAATGGTTCATCCTGCCAAGATATTCCTCTTTGTTTGTTCATGTACTTGATTCCCCTTTGCCCTCGGTTTAATTTTAGGTGGATAATGCGGAGCTGTAAATGAGTAATTTTGCCCTGAGTTTAAACTCTCTGTATTTTCACAGTCATTTAATCCATTTTTAAGATAGTTGGCATGAGGAGACGAGGGATTTGGATGGATTACTGAGAAAAGTGTCTCAAATCAGTCCTAATACTCACAATTTAATTAAAAAAAGGACCGTTTAAACTGTGCTAGCTTGTTAAAATATCCAACTGCAGGCACATCAGCCGTCTACTGTATAGGTTGAGAAATATAAATGCATGTAAAGCACAGGATCAGTGTATTCTGTGTACATTTTATTTTATGACAAAACGATATGACAGTTGAACCAGTTTGTATCTCAAATGTATTTCAGCGTGAGGGCCGTCTTGTGTAGAATGAACACAACTGAGCCTAAAGCAACATGGACAATTAAAAATGCAGCAGATGTATCCTGTTTTATCTAGGCTACACAGTCAGAGGGTGTTTCTCAATGTCGAGGAAGGCTCCTCCAGAGCCACTATTTCAAGGATGCTACATCATCGAGTCCCGCCGAAGGACTGTTCCAATGTCCAGGATCCTTGGAATTCTACCGAGGCCAGCGTCCTTCGTTGCGGGAAATTTCGAGGCTGCACATGTGTATCCTCCGGTCTTAAAATCCCCACAATGCTTTGCGCACGGACCAATTTCCAAAATCTTTGGCGGAAATCGCGCTCCATTTAAGGCGGAGCCTCTCATATGACGTACACCTGTTAGCCTGTTCCACCATTCTTCGTTTTCCGAGGCTAGGAAGGATGCTTGCCTCGCTTCTGAAGGACCTGACTCGGAAGACATGTCCTACCAAGGAAGCGTCCTCGACATTGAGAAACACCCATAGTGTAGTGGTGCATGTGATGTGTATTTATGTTTCTCAAATTGTATTTTGCTCATAAAAATCGTTCCTGATGGTTCTGAAAGAGAAGGAGAGTCCTTAACCAGTAAGCTACCCAAACAATAAATGATTAAGGGGTAGTTTAATATCTATATTATATAGTTTAATCTTATTGTGATTGATAACACAACCTATCAATGTGTTATTTCATAACCTATTTTGTCAGTTCCATGCCCTTTTGTTTCCTTCTGAAGAAGTTATTCTTTAAAAATGAGTCACAAATACAGAGGTTAATTTTTAATTGGTGGTACTTTTTCTAAAACAGCTGGTTACTTTAGTTTTTATCAGACTAACAGGAGGAAATAGAGTATTGGTTTGGGGCTATTTTCAGCGGTTGGATGAGTCAAATTTTGCATGACGTGTTTGTGGAGGTGAGTCAAAATAAACTAAAGGGTTGTATTCCTGGTAATAAACAACAATGGAGCTCTATGCCAATAGGACCAACATATATCAGCCTTTGATATACACACACACACACACACACCTTGTTTTATAAGATCTTTTTGTAGTGGTTTTGGTCTTTTCATGGGATTTGTTGACTGTTTGAAACCTTTAAAAATATCCTCAGATATGTTGAAAACCTATTGGAACAATTTCCAATAATTTCTTACCATTCAACAATGTGATCTGAAGTGACAAACAAAAAGCACAAATGTTAATTTCCCTCTGTGTCTCTCCGTTGAAGGTGGATGATGAAAGTATTGAAGACCTGGGTGAAGTGAAGAAGTGAAGACCAAATATGCACTTTTACTGAAACGGATGTGACCTGTAACAACAACGACAACCTGGCCAAATGTACACATTAAGTCATTTTATACCTATTTTATTTACTGTTCATAAAAGCTGCAGACTTGGCCACTCACTTGGCATTTTTTTTAGTTAATAATAGCTGCTTTCTCTCATTTGCCAAAGGTGTGGTATGACGTGAATCCCTCCCAACTGTTCTTCACTCAAGCAAAACTAGGCTAATAAATGTCAGTCTCCTTCGCCTGTACACTCTTCTTTATTTTCAATGGGTATGTTTCTATTTTTAAAAAAACATTAAAAAAGGATTTTATGGTTCACCTGCTTTTATCCGAGTCACTTAAATGCCCCCAGGTTAATTGTTTTGTACGCATCCTACAGCCTCCCCATGAGGAAGCCTTCTCCCCTACATAATAGTTTCATAATGAAGCCACGCTCCCCAGACGGATAACATTTACAGTTGTTTCCAAGCTCCTCTGGGTCAATACCACTTCCCCGGAGATAACACATAGTGCACAGTTGTTTGCTCCACTTGTGAATTAGCATCTTGGTCCGAGAATCATTTGAATGTGCGCAAACATAATTCCCTACCAAAGAAGTCACCTGGTACAGCATATCTGTGTTGACACTGTAGAACAGTTTATAGCTGCTGGTCAGTGTTGAGCTTCACTCTTAAAGATGAATCTCACTCCTCCAGCCGACTGCTGCGCCTTCGAATCGCCCATCCTGGACCAGGTTTTGCCACCAATACTGATTATGGAGTTCATGTTTGGGCTGATGGGGAACGTCGTCGCACTGTGGATGTTCATCTTTCACATGGACACATGGAAGCCCAACTCTGTGTACCTGACTCACCTGGCTGTTGCCGACTCCATCGTGCTGTTCTGCCTGCCTTTCAGAGCTGACTACTACAGGCGTGGAAAGAACTGGCTGTACGGCGATGTCATGTGTCGCATCCTGCTCTTTCTGCTGGCAGCCAACCGTGCGGCAGGGATCTTCTTCCTCACCGCTGTAGCTGTTGACCGTTACTTCAATATTGTCCACCCAATGAACCGGATCAACCGGATGGGTCTCGGCTACGCTCTCTGGGTCTCCCTCGCTCTCTGGGCTCTGATTTTTCTTGCTACTGGGTATCTTCTTGCGAATGAGCACTTCTTCTACAATGGAAACCATACTCAGTGTGAGAGTTTCAACATCTGCATGGGCTTCAGTCCCCTCTCCACTTGGCACAACACTTTCTACGTCTCCCAGTTCTTCCTGCCCACTATAATCGTCGCTTTCTGCTCCGTCAGAATTACGTGGCAGTTAAGAGCCAGGACTATGGACAAGACGGGGAAAATCAAACGAGCCGTTCAGTTTATCTTGGCTGTCGCCTTGATTTTTATTATCTGCTTCTTTCCCAGCACCATATCACGCATTGCCGTCTGGATCCTCAAGGCATGGCACAATGAATGCAAATACTTTGAAGAGGCCAACCTGGCATTTTACACATCGGTGTGTTTCACATACTTCAACAGCGTCCTCAACCCTGTGGTGTATTATTTCTCGAGCCCTGCCTTCAGTGGCGCCTTCGATAAGCTCCTGAATAAACTGCTGCGAAGGAAGGAGGAAGACAAAGATCAGACGGATTCAACTCAGAACGACGTTTCCACTGTTGATAATAGAAGGATTTAAAGCCGGTGTGTTTGTTTTCCCTGCTCACATAGCAGGGGAAGTCTAATTAATGCAAAATGCATGTTAGATTCCTGCCTACTGATAGAATTACATGTAGAGATGAGGTTTTGCTGTGGTTGTGAAAAACATAATTGCCCAAACAAAAAATCTAATATAAGTCTTAATGCTGTTGGTATAGGGTTACCAAAAATCCTCAAAAGTATGTATTAATAAAATGAATCATGAGCGATTAAGAAAACAACAACATTTAATGTGATCTAGTCAAATATGCCATGCTAATTCTTGTAAATATGGATATATGTGTATGCACATTTTCTTGGTAAGGTAGTTCATATAATACTTTATAATGTCAACTGCATGACACTGATTATTAGCCGCACAATAAAGTAATATTTGCAATACAAATCAGTTATATACAGCCAGAGGGAAGTTTGGATGAAAGTAAAAGTGGTGATACCAAATTGTAGGAATTCCCTGTTACAAGTAAAAGTCATGTTCTCAAAGGTTTTTAATCTGTTTGGACAAAATTGAAAAGTACTACTTATACAGAAGGGACCATTTCAGAAATATGTCTATAATATTTATTTTAATTATTCATATTAATGGGCTGCTTTTTAACATATACATATACCGCTTGGTAGCTTGTGAATTTCTCCAATAGTACGCTATTTATACAAAATAATGCATACAAGTTTTATTGTTGTTTTGTCTTGTGAATCTAGTTCAGCAATGTAACTCAAAGTAACAAATAAAGGTAGTGGAATACAAATTATAAATATAATTAAATAATTAGGAAATGGAAATACTCAAGTAAAATACAATTACCATAAACTTGTATTTAAGTATAGTACTTGATTAATTGTGCTGTTTCACTCCCGTACATATTCTGCAGATTCAGATTATTTTTACAAAATATGAATCGGCTAATGAAATACATTTATGATTACATTTTATGATGGCTTCAGTGGTCTTCTGTCATTCTGTGCGTATATATTTTGCACATTTCTAGCCTTTGGATCCTGTCCCATTTTCTTTTTCTTTAAATAAATATTACTTAGAATAACCAACACAAGTCAAATATACCGCTTGTGCCATTCTCCTTTCTTGATTGTTTGTTTTCTCAGTCATAAAATCGTGTTATAAAATTCGGTTCTCAAATGGTTGAGTTTACGGTCCGGTCCTTGAAGGCAGCTTGAGTTTTGGTTCCCAAGGTGGTGACGTCAGGCTGGGGCTGGGCAGAGACGCTGGAAAAACATGTAACGGTGTAAAGATACGCTGCACCTTCCCACGACATATTTTACCGAGGCTCAATTCACCGGCCGAGAACAAGTAAGCTTTCACGGCGACTTTTTACACACCTGTCTGCTTTTATTTAGCTTTAATATTCCATCTTTTAGGGCGTTAGTGTTTACGTTAAGCACAGTTAAGTTAATATGTTTATGCTAATCTGTAGCTAGCTAGCATTGGCAGTTAGGAGCGCATTCCAGCAGGGACCAACGCTTCAACGTGGGACACAAAATAACATAAATAAGTAATTCGTTTACGCACTGGGACTATCTCTTGTATGATATGTGTGGTTAAAGTAACCTGTCATTTTGAAATTAAATGCGTAGGGTGTTTAGAAAAAGTGTCCACACCTACCTAAGTTGCAAGCTCAAGAGATGCAGCAAGTATATTGAGCCCATCCCAGACATACACAACAAGGGCCAGTCTCATTATCTGTTTGCCATGTAACAATGCATCAGCAGGGATTTGTACATGCATGGTTGATATCTGATTCTGTTAGGATAAAGACAAAGGAGTAGTAGTGCTGAGATGATCCCAGACACAGGATGAGATTTGACAGCTGTAGGTGGGCTTGTTGTTTTGGTCTGGCTGGGCGGAGAGAGCAGTGAGGTAATGTTACACAGACAAGGCTTGTGTTACCTGCTCACTCACTGCATGGGATTAACTTTAAACACACACTTTTACTGTTAAGTGCCGACAATATGCAATATGACAAGTTGAGTCAGTACAAATAAAACATGCTGCTAGCCTACATAATAGATTTCAGCACCTGCAACATTGTCAGTGGTGGAGGAATCCATATAATTTACACTAGTAATTTTAAGTGAGTTAAAGTACTAATACAACACTGAAAATACTCAACCGCATTTAAAGGTCCTGCATTCAAAGCTTTAAAAGCGAGATTAAATAGCAGTATAGAAAGTTAAAGTAGTCATTGCTTAAATGTTAGCTTTTAAGGCAGACTAATGTCCAACTAAAACAAATACATGGTTGTATAAACACCCATACTAATACACTTTGATAAGTATCCTTAAATAAATATAAAAACTACATTTTTGGTAGAGATCTGAGTCCACAATGGGAAGAAAAGTTGAACTCAGCTACTCTGGTTCACAGGTCTTGAAAGGTCCAAGGTTTTTTTGGGTTTGTGGCCATGTATGAGAAAGGGTTCTCTTTATTCTGATGGTTGCTGTTTTGCAGGATGTTTTATATCCATAATGGTTTGTTTGACCAGTATTTCTAAGGGCTGAGTAAAAAGCAAGTCTTGTAGCTTGAATGAACTACTGTCTGCAGTGGAAGCATGAAGATAGATTCCCTACAGTTAAACAGCCTCATCTGTGTGACACATAATATCTGCCTTGACCGTGTTGGTCCAGAGTGAATCATCTGATTTATGAATAAAATGGCAGCGTGGTCAGGCAGCAGCCCAACACCTACGGGACAAGATGTGCAAAGAAAGAGGAATGTTTTACTTCGGAGAGGAGGGAAATCCGCATCACTTTATTTAATAAATGCCATATATGCAAAGTAATTTATATTTTGGCGTTTAGAGTAGAGACGTCACAGAGTGAAACTACTCATGACACGTGGTCAGGTTAGCATTTCATTTGGTTGATAATAAATAGCCTGCATATAAACAGTGGGTTGTGAAATACGTTGGGAAGTAGTCTAGAGCAGTGGTTCTCAAATGGGGGTACGCAGACCCCTAGGGGTACGTGGGGGTACTGCAGGGGGTACGTGAGAGAAAACAATAAAAAAGGTTTATAAAAAAAATGCTTTTTTGCTTATGCTGGGTACAACTTGTATTTGCCGTACTCGCCATTAACTGTTATTGCTCAGGTTAATCTCGCCCCCCTCCGAGGTAAGTGTGAAGTATTGGTACTTGCCGGGCAGCCGAATGGGGCCAGCTAGAACCGGTTTTCGGTACTTAGAGCCGGTTCCGCTGCGGTGGAAAAAGGAAGAACCAGAGCTAAATCAGGCTCTAGCCCGGAACCACGCCGAGCGGAAAGCATATAGTATATATATTGCAATAGTATATTATAACAAATAGACATTCCAATGGAATCGTGGTTAAAACGTAGCAATACTACGGCAGGGAACGTGGACAACGGAGAAATAAAGAAAGCCAAAATTGAGTCAAAATGCCGTCAATATCAGGAGGCGTATGCTTTGACGGGATTCACGTCCACAAACGGCAACCCGCCCCAGGCATTGTGTTTTTTCTGTGGGGAAAAACTAGCCAACAGCTCAATGAAACCAGCGCACCTCCAGAGACATCTCAGCACCAAACACCTGTGTCACGTTGGTAAACCACCGGAGTTTTTCAAAAGAAAACTTGCTGAGTATAGATCCTCCCAAGAGATTATGCGAAAAGCTTCCACAACATCAGCCAAAGCACTGGAGGCATCGTATGCGATATCACTGCTCATCGCTAAAGCCAAAAAGCCGTTCACGATCGCTGAGGACCTGTTACTCCCAGCTGCTGTTGTTTTGGCTGAGACGATGCTGGACAGAAGTGCCGCGGAGAAGTTAAAAACGGTGCCTCTTTCTAATGACACAGTTTCACGCAGAATAGAACGAATGGGAGCAGATATTGTTGAACAAGTTGTGGGAAAACTTGGCGAAGCATTTTCACTCCAGCTTGATGAATCGACCGATGTCAGCGGTAAGGCTCAGCTTATTGCTTTCGTGAGATACGTGGATACTGACGACATTTATGAAAATGTGCTTTTCTGCAAGACCTTAGAGGGGAAAACAACGGGGGAGGAAATGTGTAATGTTTTGAATGATTTCTTTATTGAAAACGAGCTGGACTGGAGAAACTGCATGAGTGTCTGTACTGACGGAGCTGCCTCAATGACGGGCCGATTTAAAGGGCTCATGGCACGTATTAGGGATACAAATCCAGAAGTGCAGTGGAATCACTGTCATACACAGGGAAGCATTGGCGGCCAAAAAGCTGAGTCCTGTGTTGCATGACGTTTTGAACAACAGCATCAAAGTGATTAACTTCATAAAGTCAAGGCCACTCAATGCGCGTCTGTTTCACCGCCTTTGCAAGGACATGGGAGCTGAACACACCCAACTACTGCTACACACAGAAGTGCGCTGGCTCTCTCGAAGGAGGATACTGAGCAGGCTGTTGGAGCTACGATCGGAGGTGCACACCTTTCTGTCAGAGCAAGGATCTCCTTATGCCACACTGTTTGAGGACACAGATCGGCTTGCAAAGCTTTGCTATCTGGCAGACATATTCAGCAAATTGAATGAGCTGAATCTGTGCATGCAGGGCAAGAACACCAACATTCTGAACCTGTATGACAAGGTGGGTGGTTTCGTAAAGAAAGCAGAGTTGTGGAAACGGGCATGTGCACCAGCTTTCCTCAGGTAGATGCTTTCCTCTCCAGTGAGGATGTGCAGAGCGCTCCAGTTAAGTCCATTATAGAGGAACACTTGGCCAACCTGATAGTTAGTTTCAAGTCGTACTTTCCTGACATGGAGGAGAAACCTGCACAGCTTGATTGGGTAAGAAACCCATTTCTTCTGTCAGAAGCAAACAGAGAAAAGCTTCCTCTCTGTCACCAGGAAAAACTCTTGGATGTGTCATCTGACCGTGGCCTAAAGATGACATTTGAGAACTCCACTCTCACGCAGTTTTGGGTGTGTGTGAAAAAGGAGCATCCTGAGCTGGGAAACACAGCTTTGGAGCAGCTACTGCCCTTTGGATCAACATATTTGTGTGAAGCCTCCTTCTCTGCAATGACTCTCATCAAAACAAAGCAGAGGAACAGACTGGGCCTGGAAAATAGTCTGATCACTGCTGTGTCCTCTCTGCCACCAAGGATGACCAAGATCCTCAGTGAAGGACAAGCACACGTTTCACACTAAATTGAGTGCTCTTATTATTACTTGTTAGTGTTATTGCAATTTATAATTTATTTATTATTACAATTGTTTGGTTTTTTTGCCAATGTTTTGACACTAAATTGTATGTTCTATTTTAAAATGCAGTTGAATGCACCTACAACTCATTAATAGTGTTATTGCAGTGCTATTACGTAGTTTTTTTGTAATTGCACATTTGTGTTACAATGTTTTGTTTTTAACCCTTTCATGCATTGTGACTGATTATTTAATGCTGTTGTTTATGCATGGGGTTTTGGATGGTAGCACATCAGGCACCACATTTTATTATAATATTTGTGTATTGTATTTTATAGTTTTTGCATAATATAACATTTTGTTCATTGGTTCGTTAAACATTTAATTATTACTTAAAAATCTGTTTTTAAAAAATGTGGTTATGTTCTTTGTTTGTTGTAATTCATGGATGAAGGAGTTAATAAATCACACACTGATGGAACATCACTATATTGTAATTATTTATATAGGCTTTTTCTATCAAAAATGTTCGGGGTCGGTCAGGGGGTACTTGGCTGAGAAAATGTTTCAAAGGGGGTACATTACTAAAAAAAGTTTGAGAAGCACTGAATTCTTGAGGGTGACATTATAACAGTTTAATGTTCACAGGCCTTGATGAGTGGTGTAGCAGCTCTCACTGCTTGTTTTAAATTTGTGTCCGCTTTTGTTAACTGAGTATTACTGTTTTAGTTATAGGTGGTGTGCATGGAATCAAAAAATAGTTTTATTAATTGGGTAGGTCTACAGAAAAACATATTTATTTTGATAGGTGAATCATTTTTAGTCTTTACATTTTTAATTTGAAGTAAAAGTGCCTTAAATGTACTGGTTAGGGTTTTTTGCTAAGTGGCCTTTTATATACAAGGATTTGCCTTGGTGTTTTAGTGCAAGATGTACAGTGAGCATAGTGAAAATAAATAGAAACATGGATCTGTAAAGCGTTAATGTTTACCGGGTTTATGTATTTGAGTTTCTGCTTACAATTCCAATAAGGTATGACTAAATTAAGCTGAGTCAATATCCACTGTGATGAGTTTCACGTCTCTGCAGATGGTCAGCTACAATAAAGGACTTGTAAAATAAAACATGAAATGGCCTCTGTTTCTGATTTGATTTATGGCTTTTTCCCTAGTTCTCTTCTATCACATTGGGACTTTATGGGGTGGTGGGGAAGGCCTCCACCTTGACCAGGCCACACCCCACACAATGGACAAACCAGGAGCCATGAGTACTCAGGGCAAGGTCAGCGGGCTCAAACCCCCCAGCAAAATAGTCCGTCCATCTGGGGTGCCCACAAAGACCTCTCCTTCCTCGGGTAAGATCATTTTAAAATACTCATGAACTTTATAAAATCTCAGAGGTAGTATTTGTGGATGATGTATTTTAGTACATTCATGCAACAGAACTGAATAAGACAAGAACACTATTATTTAAAACAACTAAGTATGACCCTATTGCAAAGGGAATATCTTGCAGCTTTATAAACGGGATGGTTTGTTGTGCTGTTTGCTCTGATTCACCATTTAGGCAGAACAAAACCTCAGCAGGGGGCCAATCTGATTACAGAGTCCATCCTTTAATCACCGAGCAACTGCACTGTTTCATTGTTTGCTTCATGTGCCAAGGGGGAAACACTAACAGGGATTAGAAGTAGTGATTCAAATGAACACTCTTTACTCATTTCAATTGTCATGTTTTACAAATATTTATGTAAAGAAAAAGTTTGAGCGTGTTATTACTAGGATGGGTTAAATGCAGAGGTCAAATTTCACTGTGTGCTGTGGGCATGTATGTGTGACAATTAAAGAGGGTTTCATCCCTCCGATTCTATTCTATTTTATTTAGTGGGAATGCTGATACAGCATTCCCACTATCTGTTATTCGACGCACAAAAGTCTTTATTATTCCGCCGGGTTATTTTGCGCCTTTTCTGCTAGAGGACTGATTACATTTTGCCTTCATATTTTCTTTTACACCTGCCATAATTCCCAAACCCTACATTCCTGAGACATGATTTTTCATGACAAACGTAGGAAAACATTAAGCAAAATAATTAAACAAAATGCCTCTTGATGGCATGAAGGGACAAAAACGTTCAACATGTCTCCATTAAACCCCATTGTAAATTCAGCCTTATCTTTCCCCACCACAGCAGCCGCACACCTTTAGTTAATCTGCCAAAAAGGCCACATTATTAACCCGAAAGTACACAAAAAGTACACTTCAGATGCTCAAGTTCCTTGACATGCTTCACGCTTTGAAATGTTACCGATATCTGTTACGGTTCTTCAACAAAACGTTCACATGTAAGAGGTTTATCTCATTCAGAACAATGAAAATGCTCTCCTCTCACTGATTACTGCACATCACCATGGAAACCTTTGATCTCTGGACACATCGTTAGCTGAAATATAAACACCTCTGTCATGGAACACGATGATGTCATTTCTCTGACATGCTCAGAGCAGCAGATTTCAGATTATGGTTAACACAGCTCTACATCAAATCTGATGTTACGTAATGTGGTGTTACTATGGCAACGCATCCCTCGCCATAAAACAGCAGCAGACTTCAGATAATGGTTAATGGTCCTGCCCTCAACAGCTCTACATCAATTATGGGGTGTCTTCTATGTCTTTTCCATGGAAACGCATCCCTCGCCATAAAACATGATGTCGCTGTAACTCCAATGGACACAGTCCGATCGTCCCTCAAACTTCACTTGTATATCACCGGTCCGTGCCTCAACAGCTTTACGCCAAATCTGAGATCTCACCATAGGCTGTTGCCATAAAACACGATGTCGCTGTAGCTCCAATGGACACGGTCCGGTCGTCCCACAATCTTCACCTGTATATCACCTCTCCATGCCTCAACAGCTCTACGTCAAATCTGACATCTCACCATATGCCGTTTCCATGGAAACGCATCCCTCACCATAAAACATGATGTTGTCGTAACACCTATGAAAAGGGTCAAAAACAGCGCCATACTTCAGATAATGGTTAACGGTCCAGCCCTCAGCACCTCTACGTCAATTATGGGGTGTTATCATATGCCGTTTCCATGGAAACGCATCCCTCGCCATAAAAGAGGATGTGGCTATAACTCCTATGAAAATGTTCAAAAAGTGCTCAAACTTCACATGTGTGCTAACAGTCCCGTCGTGAAGACATCTACAGGTCGGTTTTGAGATTTCTTCAATTGCCGTTGCCATGGCAACACAATGCTCACCATGAAACACGGTGTTCTCATAACTTCAGTGAAAATGCTCCAAACAGCCCAAAACTTCATAGGTTTGGTAACGATGCAGCCATCAACGCATCTAAGCGTATTATGTCATCAAATGCCGTTGGCATGGCGACAGATCATTCGCCATCAAGTTAGTTAAAAAGTTTGCAGTTCAAATATTCTGCTGCTTTTCCAAGCCTTCTTACTTTCTTTTCTTCTCTCATCACACATTCAAGCCCCCAGTGTTCATGTATCATTTCAATCTAAATTCTTCACTTTCTTCTTACACATTACATTTCAGCATAGCAGTTTAGCGTCAGCTTTTCAGCATAAAGCATTCCCACTAGCAATTTCTTCAGGAATTGCATTCTCTAGTTCTATTCTATTAATCATCAGTACTGTAACTTTAACAGTATATGTGTAACACCCAGGATATTGGAGTTTTGCATTTCAAATGTTTGTATCTTGTTTACTTACTCTGTGCTCTTTAATAACAATTCAATTTGTCACTATTTATCTGAGGTCGAATTAAATGCTGATGCATTTGTAAAAGTGTGGCTTTTTTTGAAGCTGTAGTGTGGACGCTCCGTTACTTTGTCACACAATGTGTGGGTTTTTTAAGTTGGGTACAAAACAAAACGCTTTCTAATGACAGAAGTAACCAAGTTCTAATAGAGTCTAGAGCAGTGCTTCTAAAAGTGTGGTCCGCGGACCACTTTCCAAGGTTTGACATAATGAATTGTGCTACTTTTAAAGCAAGCAACGATGTTTTCAAATCTGTAATCAAAAAGCTCCTCAAAAACGCTATCGAAGCAGTTCCTGCCGTTGCTACCATTAGTTCAAACGGTAACAACGGACTCTTTTTCTTAGCGGATGCATGTCAATTGAAATCAATACAAACAACAATTGTTTTTTAATCAATAAAATCATTTTCTAAATCCATAAAATCATTTCAATTAATATTGGGTGTCGTATCGTTACTTTGTTGAGAATGTGGCCATGTAATAAGCGGGATAATGTGCAGCAACGCGGTCATTATGGGGAAAATAACACCTTCATGCCGATCTAGATCCCTCTGCTTCGCGTCGGGCTCCTGATTAGCCTGTCGGTGTTCTTTTCCCCATAATGACCACGTCGCTGCACATTATCCCTTACATATGATTATATAGAGTCATTATTCATTTGTTTTTAAAGCAGGAGGCGCAAACGCTTGCCTCGGGGAGGGAGAAAAAGAGCCACAGCGGAGAATAAACAGAAGGGCAACCATGCGCGGGAAGTCTTCTTCGCTGCTTTTGTGGCAGACGACAGCGCCACTTACAGGCCTGGCATATGTACTACAGCGTCTCCAGCGCTTTCGAGCGGCAATGGTCGGCCGTGGCCCAACCTCTCATTCCCCTGATAGGTGGAGAATTGACCACTAAGCGGAGCACCCCTTTTGTGACGTAGAAAATAATTCAAATCTGGATCAGTCTGTATCAGATCCGTTACAGCCCCTTTTTTTTAGAGATTTGGGTATGGAGGAAAAGGGAGAGGGTTGTATTTTCTGACACTTGGTGAGTTCCCTGACACACCGGGGACACATATTCATGTATAAAAGATGTACAAGAGTGCATTTTGCATGATAGGTTCCCTTTTAAGTTTTCCGCACTCTCGTGGGAATATCTCCGCAATGGAGCGAGCTTAAGTTTCACTTTCAATTGCATGATATATCCCAGTGCAACACCTTCATCAAACATGTTGCCACTTGTCTGTACCATTTTCAGGCGATTTGTAATCTGTTCTAGAAAAACTGTGTTTTTGGATATTTGTGGAGTTAGGTGGTCCGCGAGTGGTTTTTTATTGGTTAAGTGGTCCTTGGTATGAAAAAGTTTGAGAAACACTGCTCTAGAGTCTTCACAAGAGCAGAAATGATTAGCAAATATTTTAGCATTATGTATAGAAATAGTCTGTTAGTCTGTTATAGTCTGTTTGACAATTTCACTAAAATAAGTCGTACAGTTCCCCCCCCTCTCTTGAGCCCTTACAAAAGGTTGTTGCTTCACCCTGATTGGCCAAGAGGGGAAAAGCACCAAGCTGCTCTTAATTCTTAATTAGGAGCCAACAGGTGATCTGAATAACCTGCAATCAGCTCAGGGGAGCTGTGACACCCAGCTCAAATTAATTGGGAAAATTATAATAACAGTATGTACCAAAGGTTTGCTGCACAAATATACAATTACAGTCGCCATATCGATTTTAGTGAGATACTGAACATATATCACAGGTTTCAGATCAACTATTATTAATTTGATCTTAATGAAATTATAGGATTTATATCAAAAGCGGTGAATATATTGGGTATAATTGTGATTGTAGGTACTGCAAAGCCAGTCCCTCCAGAGAAGCCCCCGGGCAGTGGGACCTCCCCGACCCAGGATGGAAGTGTGGACTTCGAGGTGGGAGAGAGGGTCTGGGTCAACGGAGACAAGTCCGGTTACGTGCAGTTCATCGGGGGCACGCAGTTTGCTCCCGGGCAGTGGGCGGGGATTGTGCTGGACGAGCCTATCGGGAAGAACGACGGCTCCGTGGCAGGGGTCCGGTACTTTCAGTGTGAAGACGAGAAGGGGATATTCACACGGCCTTCCAAGCTGTCAAAGACTGCTCTGCCAGTGAAGGAGTTAAACGGGGGGCAGCAGAGTCCAGCTCCAGGAGCCCCCGCAACCAGCGAGTCCACACCTGCTGCCACTACCTCAACTGGTAACATGCAGCATATTCTCAGTGAATACTGACTGTGTATCTTATTCAGGGGGGTAAAGTTGGTCTGTTTCTGTGTACAGTTCAGGGCACCGGCATTAAGACGAGTGCAGCACTTAACCGAATGCTCACATGCAGCGATACAGTGTCTAACGTCTCAGACACAGAATCCATGAAGAAGAGGAGGGAGCTGAGGCTCGGGGACCGCGTGCTGGTAAGAAACACAGTATACACTAAAATACTCAAGATTGATATTCATATTTTCCTACAGTCATTTACTGCCAACAAAGGACTTCATGAGAGAACTGTTTTCAGTGAATCAAAGTTTTGATGATAAACAGAGCCATTTCCCATATAAGGTCACCTGTTCTGCTCCATTTCTGGGCAAAGTTTCAGTCACAAATCCCCAAAAATAAAAGTATTAACTATGCAGAGCTTCAAGTCTTTCTCTTGGACATCAGCAGACAAATATGTAAGCAGTGTTAGTAGAAGATAAGAACTATGTTGTGAAAGAAATGGGGAGGAAATAATTGTACATGATGCTGAAAAATCTCTTGAAGTCGCAATTCTCAGACCATGACCATGACATGAGAGTTGTACTTCGCGGGTGAATGTAGTCTTTCAAACATGTAAGTGTATTTTTTACGTGCTACATTAGACATGAACACACAGTTTAAAGACAGAATTTACATTATGGAGATGCCGACATCTTAATTTTGCATGCATTTTCTATTGTTCTCCAAGTATTAGATTCAAGGCTTTTATTGTCATTCGTACATAGCTACAGTGTAGTTATGTTGATGAAAATCTTAGATCCTAGGCTCCTCCAACAGTGCAACACAATAAAACAGATAAAATAGTGCAAGTAAATACAATAAAATAGAATATAAGTAGTGCCATAAGAGTATATATAAGTGATACATCATTTGTGAGTTGCAAACAGGTGAATGTTTTGGATGTTCTAGTTCAGGTGTTTAATAGTCTTATGGCCTGTGGGATGAAACTATCCCTGAGTCTGGTGGTTTTAGTCCTGATGCTGCGGTCCCGCCTGCCAGACGGCAGCAGACAGAACAGTTTGTGGCTGGGGTGGTGGGGGTCTTTGATAATCCTGAGGGCTTTCTTCATAAGATAATATATGCTTACTACAAACTGTCCCAAATGTAACCTTAGAGGAGTTTAACAACTTTTAACCTTTTAAGATTGGTGAATTATTTTTAGGAATTCATTTGAAATAAAACTAGTAAATTAAGAAAGCACTGCAAATCATAGTTTTTGTTTTTTTTGTAGGTTGGTGGTAACAAGGCAGGAGTTGTGAAGTTTCTCGGGGAGACAGACTTTGCCAAAGGAGCGTGGTGTGGAGTGGAACTAGATGAACCACTAGGCAAGAATGATGGAGCGGTAGCAGGGACCAGGTGATAAATGACACATGTATAAGATATGTCTTCACACAATCATAAGTAACCTGTGAAGAAAATATGTATTTTTCTTGCTTTCCTCTCAGGTATTTTCAGTGCATGCCCAGGTATGGCCTGTTTGCTCCGACCCACAAGGTAATGCGTATCGGCTTCCCGTGCACCACACCCACCAAGGCTAAGAGCTCACGGAGGAAGTCCGCCCTGAAGAGAAGCCCGAGCGCCTCCTCCATCAGCTCGCTCAGCTCCGCCACCTCCTCCATCAGCGGCAAGCCCAGCAGAGCAGGACTGGTAAGACCACTCTGTAGTTAGTCCACACTACAGGGGTTTATGTGGACTGTGTTCATGCAACACATCCCAAAACCATACTGTGAGTCAAAGTTATGTATGCATAGGTAGCAAACTCATCGTCAAAACCTTTGTATAACTTTACCAGTGTACTGCTAACTTGCTTAGTTTTGCCTATGTATGCAACACATTTGAAATAAACCTAATTTCTACGAGTAAGGGTTTTATTGTGTTTTGTTGTCAGTGTATTTCAACAAATGTACTTGTTTGGTATTCTCATTAGTAAATTATCTGAAGTGTGACTGAAAATGGAAAATAACTAATGCTTAAATCAGATTTTAGTTTTAGTTTTTTGGAACTTAAACCTATTGGGTTATTTTATGATTAGCTACCTCCTAGACCTGTGACACAGTTTTCTTTTAACAGATAACATACAACATTTAAAAAAAAATCTTTGTCCCTTCAGCTGACAGAGACATCTGCTCGGTATGCTCGTAAGATCTCCGGCACTACAGCGCTGCAGGAGGCCCTGAAGGAGAAGCAGCAGCACATCGAACAGCTGCTGGCGGAGAGAGACATGGAGAGATTTGAGGTTGCGAAGGCCACGAGCCATGCAGGAGAAGTGCAGCAGGAGATGGTTCAGCTGAGGAAAGGACGGGATCAGGTCAGAAATATTAACACATGAAGGTTATCTGCAGTCAAACAGATACTAATACTAGTAAATACTAATACTAATTACTAATACTAATATTGCTTCGTGTCTTCGGGAAATAAAATCCAGCTTTTTTATGGGTTGTTACTACTCCTACTGTTACCACAACTGATATCTTGATACAACTAAGTTAATTATTTGTAACATTATTAAAAATGTAATGTCAATGCAAAGGACAAACTAGAAATAAAATCTATACACTAGGACTTATGCAATAATTATTTAATGCACGTTTTTGGGCATTATTGAGCCATGGTCCCTAGTTAGAGGTTACATTATTCATTAAACTATATATATAACAAATACATTACAATAATCTTTTAACACTAATGGAATGTTGAAAGAGCACATTTTACAGATCAATAATGGTGCGAGACATTGCAATATTTACATTTGTGAACGGAGCTACATTTTTCAGCGATTGCCATGGCCAACGTGAACTGTTAATTTAGTGTGCATTCACCAAGTCTGCTCATGCTGCTGGCCATTCTGTGTGTTTACAGTATGCAATGGAGATGGAGGACAAGTTGGATCAGCTGCGATCACTGGTGGAGGCAGCAGACAGAGACAAAGTGGAGCTGCTCAACCAGCTGGAGGAGGAGAAGAGGTGAGTCTGACCTGTAGCTGCATGGGATTCTGTTTATGGATAGGATTAAAGCCATTGTTTTTGATGTATCACTGTATAATACAGTATGAACAGTTGGACGAAATGTTATGGCTGTCCCTGTTTAACAGAAAAGTGGAAGATCTGCAGTTCAGCGTGGAGGAGGCCTGCATCACCAAAGGAGACCTGGAGGTACGTTTTGGTTATATAATCTGCTTCTCAATGAAACATCTCTCACTCACTGCAGCTGTCTGACTCTCACTTGTCAGGCGGATGTTATACCCCTGAAATTCATGTGTGAATTATTGACAAACTAGATGGAAAGTTTAATTGACATTTTATCACTTCCTCTTAGTTCTATAGAATATCAACGTTGAGCTCTCCTGTATACAAGTTTCTAATGAACACCTGAGTCTGATCTCTGGTTTTTACCTGCTATAGTCATAGTTAAGTGACTTTAAAATGCTAAACGGCTGCTTTGCATTCCTCTTCTGATGATTACATCAATCATGTGTCTCAGACTTTCCCTTTCCCTGAAATCTTTGAATCCTTCATTTGCTTTCTTGTTAAGACGCATCTTCCTTCCTGCTCTTTTTGATTTATTCATTCATGCCTTTCCTCTGAGGTTTGTTCACCCCTCTGCTGCACTTACATGACCATCCTCTCCTTATCTTTTCATCTACTTGGATGTTCTTGAAAGCTCTCTTTGTGTTCCTATTCTTCAGTCTTTTTCCATGCTTTCATCTCCCCGCTTGTCTGCATCTTCTTCACTCTTCAGAGGAAATAAGGGACTAAAGCAGTCTCCTTCAAGTACAGGAATACAAGTGCCAATAAAGTGAGAACTCTCAGAGTCAGAATGAGATGATTAAAATGATTGGCTCATGATATTACTCAGAGCAGAATGAGCAAATAACAATCTTTGCCTTTGTTCACAACCGACTGATGTAATGCTGGAAACCATCAGTGCTTTCTTGCTTACTGGCATTTCTCTTTTAAAGTCTTCTTTCTGTTTGTGGCACAGAGCTGGCATGTCAGTGTTGCATTGGTGTTTGTTCTCCTTCTCCTCCTGCTCTCTCTTACTAACAGACGCAGAACAGACTGGAGCATGCCCACATAAAGGAGCTCGAGCAGAGCCTGCTCTTTGAAAAGACCAAAGCTGAAAAACTCCAGAGGGATTTAGAGGACACCAGGGTAATGCTGGCAGTCCCCGTCCCACAGCAGGACGGGGTGCTGTGCTTTTCCCTCCACTGGGTTTTAATAACCATGACAGAAAATATTGAAGGACAAACAGTATGCAAATGTTCAGATTGATCACAAGCTGCTTACCTCATTGCCTTGTTCACGATAAGCCCTGACAATGGGACATTGGCTTTTAACTTCTTCGAAAAAACACTATGCATGGGTTCATGCACGTTTTTTTAAAAGGCCTTGAAATGACTGGACTTCGAAGATGGCGAACATCATTTTTCTTCATCAACAAAGCCCACGAGAAAAATTAGTTTGTCTTGTAGGACTTTTTTTAATTCTCTACTTCGTCGATTGCCCTCGTCTCAAAAGCCATTGCTTCCTACCGTAAAGTAAAACAAAATGGCTCGTTAATATATAGTGTTATTTGTAAGAGAATAAAAAGGCCAAATTCCGGGTTACTGTAGTTTATATAAAACAAACATAAAGAAATTGTGAAATTTTGTAGGACTTTTTGTAGAGACGGATTAATCCACAATTGGTAATGTAGTGAGTAATAAGGGCAACAGTACGGCTGGCTGCTGTGTATTTATAATTATAAATTAAATATCTTTTGGTTTTTGATTGTCCTACAAACAAGTGATAATGTCGAGAAGACCAATTGATTGAACAAATAAGAAACTTTATTAAGTTTTAAGTAATTTACAGTTTAATCCCAGATATTATCAGGTTTAAACTCATATTTGGATATTTTGCTTAACAACCTAGATCTTTGTACACTACTGCACTTCTCTTCTTTGCATCATGTCTTCTTTTCTCCATCTCCTGCTGCAGGTGGCCACGGTGTCTGAGCGCTCCAGGATCATGGAGCTGGAGAGGGAGGTGGCCGACCTGCAGCTCAGGCTCAGGGCGTCCCAGCAGAAGGAGGACGCTGCGTCTCTGTCCCAGCAGCAGATCAGCAGCCTCAAGGCTCAGTCTCAGGAGAAAAAGGTTTGCTACATGTTGCTTTCCGCTTGTAAAATTGATAATTCATCAGTGTATAGGTAATTGCATTACGTAACGCTGGAAGAAGTGATGTAATTCCTATTTACAACCCTCCTTTTAGCCCCTAATGTATATGTTCTATTTTATATTGGTTTGTTAAAGCTACTGTAATGATTAATAATGTATGGCTGTATTCAAATGTATCAATGCATACTGTTTGTTAGATATATAATGTGTGTTCCCAACAGATCAGCGAGCTGAGTGTGGACGTGGAGAGCAAACAGAAAGAGCTTCAGTGTGCACAGCAAGATAAGAGCTCACTGGAAGAGCAGCTCAGCAGCCTGGTGAGAAAGGAGGAACATCTGTATATTAATGTAAACAAGAAGAGGATGTAGAAGGAAAAAGTTCATCTCTGCTCGTCTTCCAATGATGTAGAGCTAAATATACAGAAATGTATATTGCAAATGGACCTGTTGATTCCTCCTCAGAGTCCAAAGAAAGGCTGCATCTCTGAGGCTAAAAGTCAACTTCCTTGTCCGTTGATTTGTTTAGAAGACGTGAACATTTATATAACATATAAAATGTTCTGTTATTGAATTTCAGAGATAGTTATTTCTAGCATTTACATTTGACAAGCCTTTTTAACGTATACATGGCTTAAATAATTAATCCGTCATCAGTTGTAAATAGTTTATGTTGTATTTCTTTATCAAAAAATCTATTTAATCATAAACTGTTACAGAAGTGCTAAAGAAATGTTGTTCGGACTTCTTTAAGCATTTGATGATGTCATACATTTCACAGAAAAGTGCATGTGTTGGTATATATAAACACATTTCCTTCATCAGTGCACATCTGTGAGGGTCCAGTGTCTAACTATAGTTTTGCCTTATTTGTCTAATTCATGCTCCGTGAGGTGTTTTGCCCGTGGGCATCGTGAAATTGGCCTCATTAAGAGAGGCATTTTCTCCACAAACATTGCATGTTTTCTTGGCCAAGTCATTATTAGCTCAAGGTACAAGAATGTAACTATGTACGCCATTAGTTCGTAATCACGCTGATGTTTCCCCGTTTCAGAGACAAAAGCTCGAAACTGCAGAGGAGGACAACAAGAGGACAGCGAAGATCATGCAAGGTAAACATATCAGATGTGTCACAACTGACTTTTTTCTGTGTGAAGACGGTTGTGAGAGGTTATCCTGTCCTTCTGTTTTCTGTCAGACGTGGAGCAGAGTGTGGAGCAGTCAAAGAAAGACCACCAGACGCTGAAAGAGAAGAGTCAGTGCGGAGAGAAAGAGCTGACAAAGGTACGCTTACACTCGTAGTCAATGGTTTAAAATAACTTGTCAATTAAATGAGTATTTGCATTTAAATTAACGTCATGCTTTTCTTTTACCTCTCAGAAGAAAGTATTTTACTTTTTACCCCACTATATATTTTGACCCCTTAAAAGTGGATCTTATAGAATATGACACATTCCTGTAGATTATGCTACCCAACAATATAAAGGAGTTACCATTAGCACAACATTAAACATCTACTGCAGTGAAGTGCAACACACACATTGTTGCAACAGTAACATCAATACAAAAACTGAATTCATGATCATGCAAAACTGACGAGGAACATTTGACTGCACAATGACTACTTTTCCTTTTTATACTTTTAGTACATTTTGCTTAATAGATGCATATGCTTTTGCTTGGTTAAGGGTTTGAATGCAGGACTTTTAACAATATGTTAGTAAAGTACATAGATCCTGGTACAGTATGCTTAAAAAACACCAGTGCTGAGTGACATCTTGACCTCATGTAACTTGTTGTTGTTGTGCTCACACACAAAGAGCCTGAATGTCACAGCTCACACTGCAGCTAACAGTCAGATAGCGCCGTATGTAGAGGATGAATCAGTGTAGACATTTGCTGACTCTCACCAAGATAGCTCACTCTGCTTCTGGTTCTCCAGAGAGCTCCACACAATACTTGTGATATCTCAATTTAAAAAAAAAGAAGTTTGGGCTTTCCTTTTTATAATCCCTGTTTAGTGTGCCTTGTGTGCTTTCATTCATTCTTAGTGATGCTCTCCCACTCTAAATCTGAATATGGCCACAGGCAGCTCTTTTTACGCTGTTAGAACATTACTAACACACACATGCACACGTTACTTACATCATTCCCATTTGGACTTGATAAGTCGACGCACCAGTCTTGGCACTGCCTGAAAAGGAGTTCAGAGTAATATAAAGGACATGTGAAGAAAACAATTATTTGGAATAACAATGATGAAGGAAGTACTTTTTTCTCTTGTGTAATCCCCATGAAACTGATTACACTGAGTATGGGCTATCCGCATGTTGGGCAGTGTATTAGCAGGTACATACATTAAAGGGTAAAACAGAGTCTTTTACTGATTCAAGTGTTAGTAAAGATCAGCAGGTATTATAGTTTGCAGTTATAAGAGTGTTTAGTTGTCTTTCCCTAAAGTCAAAGCTCTTCGCTCTGGCTTCCTGGGAGTCGTTATTAATAGATTTAAAAAGAGAAACAGCTGAACGAGCTCCAGGCTGACTCAGATGAGGGCAGTCTTCCTTTTTTAGCCAGCATTTTAATGACCTCTTATCTCTCCGGTCTATTAAGAGATTTTTTAAGTGCTAATATCCGTTTTGACTAGAAAGGGATTTAGATTTTTGTGCCTTTTGTACATTCTTGGGAAAAAGAGAATCTGATGTTACTCTCTGATTTTAAGCTTTTCTGATTGATATGTATGTTTTCCAGGCTACTAAAAAGTCAGAGAGTTCAGCGCTGGCACTTGAGCAGCTAACAGATGAAAACAAGACACTGGAGGCACAGGTAAATATCAGAAATATGTGTAGTAATATTCAGATACAGCAGAAAACTGTGAATACTTTCTGACACTGAAATCACCGTGTTTTCATTTTATAAGTTGTATTTTTATTCATTAGTTTTCCCTTTTTTTGGTCAATATTTCCACTCTCACACAGCACATGTGTAGTTTATTACAATATAGGACAGACATTTAAGACAGAAGTAAACAAAAAGCAGTATTTCATTTCTATTTCTTCATTCTCAGACTGACTTTTCAGGTGCCTCGTTCGAAAAAGAAAAAGTATATAAAAGTCAGCAATAAAATTCTCCTTGCCCTCTGGACATTATAGCTTTACTAGCCCACGCTGTGCTTTAGCATATTGAGGAATCCTAAGCTTTATGTACTGTATGCATGCATGAGGCTGCATGTTTCTTTGTGTGCACTGCCCTGTGAAAGAAAGGACTTGCACATGCATAGGTTTAGCATTTGTAGCCGGTAGGGTTTTTATTATGTATTCACATCAGGATTCCCACACTGACTGCATGTGACTCTGAAAGTCCTAGTCATCACATCTAATAAGCCACGCATGAAATACTATGAGCCATCTCTCCCTGTCTCTATTGCCCCTATAGGTGTGTCATTACACCCTCATAAGAGCGGTTTGACTGACAGTTGTCCAGCTGCAGCCATGCTCTCAGACTGTGGCTCTCTGGTGCCCTCTTGCTTGCCTTTATTCACTCTGACTCCAGCTGTTTGCGAGCTCCAGATGTTTGATGTCATGACAGCGAGGGACATTGGAGATTAGAGATTGAACGCTCTCTGTTTGGTTGCATCTATTTTAGTCCTCCTTTAACCCAAAATAAATGACACCATACCAACCCTTTTATACACTACTAGTGTCAGAAAGAATAGGAAAAAGTCATCCATTCCCCTTTAAATTGTTATTTTCAGCTCAGTCACTGTAAGGCATAATATAGAAATGATATTAATAAAATAGTTTAAACTCACTTAAAGCTGGAAAAATATAACCTTCTGTATTCGAAGGTTGAAATGAACAACATACACTAACTTTGTATGTACTTGCCTCTATGAGTCTGATAGGATCAGCATAACATGACCATCTTCAAAATGTTTATGTATGCTACATTAACGAGAACAGTACTTTAGTCTTTGTAGGAAATCTAACACACGGTGTAAATGATTCTGCAGGAATGCTCTTACATCTGCTTCTTGTTCTGCCTGCTCAGCCATGTTGCTTTAAGTTGTGATGTAACTCTGGCAGAGTGTGTGCATGAATGAACGGTTGACTTCAGATCGGGCTCTTGTGTTGTGCTCTCACACATCTGTTGGGTCCATAGAGGAAACTTTAGAAAGCGATTTATTGTTTCTGTTCTTATTTATAATGTTTTTTGTTTAAAGCCTTCATAAGACAGCACCAGTAGATAGATTACAAGGGAAATGATGCAAGAGTTGAAAGATGCAACAAAATGGCAAAATGGGTGTTTCCAGCTTCAGTTATGTGTTTTTCCTGGTTTTCTTTGCCTTGTTGTTGTAGTAAACTTAGGATGTTGGTATATTGAAGTAGACCAAGAGATGGACAAGAAATATCAACTTGAATATATTACACGTACAACTTGTAGTGTTTTAAATCATATGACATACATCTGTCTGGTTAGCTTTCTTTTTGTTGGGTTTGCTTTTGAAGTTGTGGTTATTTGCTTGTTTTCTATTTTATTTAGATGTAGTTTTAGGGTGGATAGAGTATTATTGGGTTTTGAGCTATTGGTCTTCTAAAGAAGCAGTTTAAACACAGTGGTCATTTATTTGAACCAAAGCAATATTTGAAAGAATAACTGACAAATGAATGGCTGATGAAAATAATTGATAGTTTCAACCCCGATGAATACTAGGGCTGTTGGCTGCCACCTGTTTGTCTTCTTTAAGAAAAAGATGTCCCCGAAATGAGCTGGCTCCAGCTTCTCAGTTGTGCTTATTTGCTGGTTTTCTCTGTCTTCTATGATCTTATACCGGATGTATTTGTAACTCCCTTAACCTTTTTGTTTGGCTTCAGCTTGTGTTAGATATGGGCATTTGCTCATTTACTTCGTTTTATGACAGTTAACGTATTACTTTTGGTCTTGAGGGGAAGATGGACAAAAAATAAAAACATGCCTTTTGTTTGTCTGTAATTGTGATTATTTGCTGGTTTCTCAGCCTTTTGGACCAAACATTGTTTAAACACAATGATTGTAATGCAATTAATTAACATAGCGATTTTCTAGACATGTCATCGGCGATGAGGACAATTAATTGTGGGTTTTAGCCTACGTTACATCTTACACATGTTGCAACACTAAACAACATGAATGCTTTCTTGTTTTGATCAGACCTTGTAAGGTAAAGCAGTTTACACACAGCTGATTGTATTTGCTGTGATTCATGTAAAACACTGAATGAAAGGTGAATCTTTCAGAGTGTGTACATATGGTGTTAGACAGTGAGGAAACAAGATTGTGAGCAGCAGAATGTTTGAGGGGGGGGGGTCTGGGAGGAGCTGATTCTTGTGGGGCTTACATAATGGAAGTGCTCAGCTTTTAACCCGACTGTGAGAGAGAGAGCGAGGCTGCTGAGGCGACGCGCGCTCCATTTCCCTCTCGCAGCGGTGCACGGCGGGAGATGAGAGCTGATGCTTTATTGATGCCCAGCTTGTTTTATTCTGTGCATGTGATGCTGTAGAGCGGGGTGACATCGCACCAACGCTGCTGTTGTTAGAAGGTTAACATAGGTTAAAATCAGAGGGGAGCTGTGCAGGTATGGACATAGCTGCTCTGCATCAGGGTTACTCCAATAACAACTTCTCACCTCACTACCAGGTAGGATGGCTGCTTTGCTTTGGCTTTTGAGCTCGGGATTCAAACCTGATCAGTGCAGCAGATTGTAGAGCATTTCAATCTTCTTCTTCTTCTTCTTGTTTGCAGGAAAAGAGGGTGCTAATTTAGTCTCTAATTAGCTTTCATAAATGGAGGTTTTAATTGGTGTTGATTTCAGATGTCATGATGTAGCCTGTGCTTGTGATCAGTGTAGATATCCTGTTTGTTTATAATTGTGTTAGTTTAGCACGCTCAGCTGACTATACACTTTGAAGGTGGAGATAAATATTGAAAGAGACAGATGTGCGAAGCATCCAAAACACAGTTGTTGAAGATATGCAAAGAAGCACAGAAACATAATGCAGATGCTTCAAGTGGGAGTTGCAACACATTAGTTTCTGAAAATAGTTTTTTTTTGTTTTAACCAGCTACTGCAAAGGTATTGATTTATCAGTCATACTTGGTAATTAATTATTGACTATTGCTATTTTGAAACTGCGAACATGGCGGCGCTGCACATGTCAGAAAAACAGTTAAGTGAGATGTGTTGGTTTTTTTTGGACTCCCAGATATCTGACTTAAATGAGAAACTGAAAGTGTGCATGAGGTGAAGTTGGAGGAACTGTCGTCTCTGGGGATATTATTTTTAGTTTCACATGGACTGAAGCCATTCTGCTCTCTTCTGACTCATCACATTTATCAAGGCGTTGGGTATTTTAAGAATTAACTGCAGCTTCACTCCTAATGACCCATCGTTTCTCTTGTGTAACTGCAGCTGTTTTCTAACGTAAGAGATGTTTTATTGTGAAGTGGTATTATGGTGTTTATGGTGTAAAGTAGCTGACACAATGAGTTCATTATTTGATCAGTAGGTAGACAATTAATCATCGTTATAGTAAGGATGTTTTTATTTTTGCCGGGCCATTTGTATCTTTTATCACAGTGAGTATAGAGAGAGAAACATTGTTTGTGCCACTAAACTTCGGGGTTACCAAAATAGACAACTATTTTGATAATATATATTAATTGATGAATATATCTTTTAGGGAGAATGCCAAACATTAGTTGGTTCCTTGTTTTGAAATGTGAAGATTTCCTGAATGTTGTCTGATTTTAAGTTAAAAAGGTTTGTGCTACTTCTCAAACATGAACACACAGACATGAAACACAGTAATATAATTGTGTGCGTTTCACTGATGTCTATCATAGATAAAGCATCCTTCAAATCATAAGAGAGAAAAAAGACGCTTGCCTTTGATCATTAAGTGTTTTCTTCTGTGGCAAAGCGATCCAGTGATAGTTGTCAGTAGATCCATAGGCCCACTGCAAACATAAACCGGCTGAGTTTTAATGATGCCACTTTGCCAAAATGTTATCAAATATAGGCTCAAAAAACACAGGGTGCAAAACCAAATAGGTGTATACACAGTACAGTATCTCCCATGTTCTGAGAGCTTGCTCTCCTGGTGTCTTTCTTTTAGTCGTCATTTAGGAGTCTCTTTAAAACACAAGCACGCGACCTGATGCACATTACAGGGAGAACAGACAGTGCCCCCAACCAGTAATGAAGCTTTAATTGTTGCCCACATAAGTGCTCCTTACACTGCACTGCCCTCTTTATTTTATTATAGGTTATTTTATCCTGTTTTGAATGGCAGTAAGTTGTATTTAGATGTCCTATAGTTGTGTTTTTTGCACTTTGTCTCAATGTTTTGTGTAAGGCACTTTGAATTGCCTTGTGGCTGTAGTGTGCTTTATAGATTCACTTCCCACCTCCCCTGGAAAAATACATGCAGTCAGAATAGGGCTTAAGTGTAACAACATCTTAGCTGTGAATACATAATAAGCAAAAAAGGGGAAACTACCTCCCTTAAAGTTCTTTGTTGTTCTAACTTGGTGTGTTTATATTATTCATGAATCTTTTTTTTCGTTCCTGTTTCTTTTCAGCTTGAGGCTTTAAAACAGCAGAACTCCAAGTACCAGGAGGAGCTGAGCCTGTCGAAGGAGCGGAGCAGCTCAGAAAACCAGAGAATCGGAGTCCTCTGCAAGGAAATGTGAGTACTCATGATAACTAATGTGTTTTTTCCTGCCATGTCTCCTGTAAAGGTGACCCCAGCCAGCCAGTTCATTAGAGTGCTGTGTGCTTAATCTGTCCGGAGGGTCTGTACTGATCATTAAAGACCCCGCCTGCATTTCTGGCTCTAATTCAGCACAAAGAAAGGACTGTGCAAATGTCTCGGTTTAATTACATTTTAGACATTTAAATACAAGCGTATATCAAAGTCAAATGTGTTCTTAAAGTGGCTCCATCTGCAGCTCTCTGGAGAGATGCTCCCACTTGTAAACATGCTATCAATTGTTGTGTAAAGCCCATAATTAGCCAGAGGGTGCTATTATGTGATTATGGATATGATGGTGGAGTACAATGCACAATACACATGACTGTGAGAAATCCCTCTTGGGAGGAATTGCTTTCATATTTTTAAACCACAATTCCTCACTATTCAAATGGTTGTTTACGATTAAGATTTCTACAAAGCACATATATTGTCTTCTTTTTACATTTCCCATATACATTTGTTAAAAATATGTCATATATAAATGTGGATGTACTTTTCCGTCAATAAGTTTGGCTAAAATCAGTCTGCTGTTGGTCACATTTTGGCCTTAGTCGTGGCTCAAAAAGGTATAACCCATCACAAAGTTTGGTCTCATTTTGAACTGAAGCAGCACGTATTTACTCTGTTACCAAATATGATCCACTTAAGTTAGGCATGATACAAGTTGAAGAAATCTTTTGTTGTCCTCGCTGCCATCTTGACTGTAAGGGAGCCCGAATTATCACAAAATGCATTTGTTATATTACTTTATTTTGATCTTGTTCTTACTCTTGGAATTCATGTAGATGAATGAAAACAGATCCATGAAGTGGTTAAGAAAATGTAAAATGTGTTTTGCAAAATGGTTTGCTATTAAGTGAAAGTACTAATTGGTCACATGAAAAACCACTGGTATGATCCAGTTAAGACCCTCATGCATAGAGAGGGGCAAAGCATGATGAAGCTAAATCTATTAACATGATTACTTTCATGGCTTCCACTGTGTTGGCATAGCAACAAATTCATAACAATTACCAGCAGCGCTCTGACTGACCGCTCAGCTAAAACTGTTCTTGATGCCGGGTAAAAATACTGCATCTTTTATCAGCATGTTTTCACTTCCAAATGTTTGATGATCTCCAGCCCAAAGTCGAGGTCTATTTATAGACTTTGTGTGTGTGCGTGTGTTTTTGAGTCTTTACATCATTCTGACACACCTCCCCTGAGTCATCAGAGCCCAGAGCTGTGACGTCAGAGCTCCAGATGAATCTAATTGGCTGGATTATAGTCATCAATATGTAGCATCCTTCGAGAGGCGCAGCAGATGGAAATGTCAAGCAATATTATTGCAGAGAACCTGCGTTTATAATATCAATGCCTTTTCTTTTTTAAACCAAACATTCTGCATAAAGGTGAATCCTGTTAAACAGTCAGTTTAATTTCCTCCATTTCCATCCCGTCACGTCTCAACAATGTGTTTCTCCATCCTTCCTCAGTCTGCTGCTCTTATGTAATCACTCCGTCGCTGCTCCTAGGACCGCCTGGCTCCAACATGGCCGCCACTTTCACTATGACATCAGTGTGTGTGTCACAGTGTGTGGACTAAATGTGGCTTTTGTTCCTTCTAAGAGAGCAGCTGTGTGCACCACAGCTCTGATGGTCTTTGTTGAGGTCAAATCCTGATTGGTTTGCCTGTCAGTTTGGGTATATATGTGAGTCCTCATTCATTAGTAAGGCTTATAAAACAGCTGCGCTAACAGCTCTGTGAGACTGTTCTTTGGTACAGCAGTGCTTTAAACTAATTGCTAACATCAGGATGTTAGCATCATGCTCACAATGACAATGTTTAACATTAAACCTGCTTAGCATTAGCATGTTAATGTCTTAGTTTCATTTATTAGCTGGCTGACATTTACTATTTTGCAGTAAAGGCTGATCGGATAAGATAGTTTAGCAGGTATTTGGTCAAATAAAGTAGTGGACAAATATTAGATTGGACCAAAGTGGTCGACCGACCAAAAGTCATTAATGCAGCTTCAAGATCTCTTGTACTGTCTTCCACATGTTTTTGTCTAGAAATATAAGCTTTGATTTCATTTCTCTCTGGAAAAACACAGAGCGTAAAACTAAGGTAATAAGAAATGAAATCAAAGATGATGCATGAAACTATTTGTCATGCATCAAATTGGAAAATCTTCACCCCAGCTGCTTCTCTCTGCTAAAACATTTGTATTTGTATCCTATTGGAGAACACTGATGACAGACATTGCAGTGACTTTTTATTTACAAGTATATGTAAGAAACCATATTTAGTCGTCCTATCTTTAACTCCTCCCATTAACTGTAATGGCTGATGTTGTTATACAGCAGGGACTGGTAGCCAAACATTTCACCCAGCTGGTGCTCAGACGCAGCTCTTAGTCACACAAAGCTTCTTCCTCTGACACAAATCCTAAGAATGACCCACATGGAGCTAATTTCAATTTCTCCAGAAAATCATTTGGTTCCAGCATCCAAACATATCCAAGTTCATACATTCACAGACAACACAGTGCGTGCATCTGGCTACACTTGGGCTACATTTGGTCATATGCTGAGATTAAAGTGTCAGCTTTTGAATTCCCTGGTGGTGTTTTCACTCGTGGATGTGTGTGTACTGTATCACTACTGTATCTTATGCAGCAAGTATAAATCACTGTGGGTTTACAGCTGTCCAATCCTTTAAGATGTTAAAGTAGGACAATGTAATAGTGGAAATAAGCAGCTGATATAAAGACCAACAGATGGCTTTTTAGTCTGTACATGGTATCAGTATAAGTGAGGGCCTTACAGTAGATTCACTTGCAACTCACAATGTTTGTAGTGCAAACATGTTCTGCTTTTATGAAGACCTTATTGACTTGAATACATTTTAAACTAGCCTTTATCCGTACGCTTTGTGGCTATAATCAATATTTTCCTTTTAACAATGGATCAGAGGACTATGTGTCATAGGGCTCGATTGTAGTCATGAACCAAAAGAGAACTATGAAATGACTCAACAATGACAAACAACAACCTGTATATCTCTGAGCATTTAGCCGCTAAAGAACGGGATATAACCCTCAGGAGTTGGTAGAGACACCAAAGTGAGCTAAAAAAGAAAGGGAAGATTGGACTTTACATCCGTGAGGTGTTTAAACCCCAAATAAATGCTAATGTTGCTCTGCCTCTGCTGACCGGTTAGAACTTTACAGGGCATAATCAACTCTGAAATAAGCACTTTTTGCACCAACATTTTGAGCAGGTGCCAGTTTGTTAAAGTGTGGGTGCATGTTTAACAGGTGTGAACACATCTGGCCCCACACCAGATATAAGCATACAGCAGTGATGGTGACACAGATACCTTCCTTCAGTGCACACTTTAAACTCTCTTCCTCCTCTTCCCCTGCAGTGAGGAGCTGAAGCTGGCCTCCCAGAAGTCTCAGCATCTTGAGGAGGTACAGACCTTTCCAAATATTTTATTATATAAACGACGTCCTTCTTCCTGTCATGGATCAGGGTTTCTTGAGTCAGAAACGGTGATTTGATTAATAGGTTTTGGCACCGCGAGGATTTACTTCCCTCTGTGCGACCGAGCTCAGACGGGTTTAGCTTCTATTTAAATGCCTCGTGTGTGTGTTTCCCTCTCAGCACAATGACGACCGCAACAGTCAGCAGGCAGACATGAAGACCAGGTAAGAGACTAGGACATATGTCCCTAATAAATATGTATGTTTTATTTTTCTGTCATGTTCTTCTAACCCACGCTGATGGACTGTTTTATATGTTATTTGGAAATCCCTTGAGGCTGTACACACTTTAAACATGAAAGTGTGACATTGATGCTTCTTTAATTATTATGTACATGTTGTGATTTACTTGATGAACCTTAATTGATAGTCGATCCAGTGAATATGTAATGAACTGGTATATATGGTATGTAAGTCGCTTTGGATAAAAGCGTCAGCTAAATGAAATGTATAATGTATAATACACTGGCTTATTAAAAGTGATTCCCTAATTTAGTCAGTTAATTCAATGAATTATAACCCAATATAATGTAGTTTTATGCTGATTTAAGGGTATATTATGTGATTGTGTTTATCAGAATATTAGGCCTGGCAGACCTTTCCACTTCTGGTAGGAGAGTAAGATGTTTTAAATGTGTTCATTGTGTTTGTTTGGTCTTATTTTAGTCACTTTCTAAGTCTGGAAACAGAAAGTTTTTGCCTTCTTAGCTCAGTTATCAGAGGATTTAAACATCTTCAGAGCAGAGACTTCAGTTAACAGTGAATGTTAGATGAGGTGTAAATGATAGACAGGATGACAGTCGTAGGTGAAAGTGATCAGAGCAAGGAGAAGAGAGATGGAGAGCAGCTGACGGCTCTGTGGTGTCGGCTGTAGGGAAATGAAGAGGTGATGCACAATAATTAGAGCAGAAATAATACATTTGGAGCGAGAGTGTGTTCTCAGGTGGAGGGGAAGAAGACAGGAGATGTGATTCAGTGAAACGACCTGATTCACATCCACTTTCATTTATCAAGAAGGCTGAAGCAGAGATGGTGTCTCCTGGGTATCACTGGGGCAGGTGGTGTAAATACACAGCGGATGATTCATGGTTTTTGACTGTGTCGATGTGAAATCCAGCATCGTGTTTTACAACTGTATATATGCTGTAACCTTTACAGTTGGGTAAAGTTCATGTTTTACTAGGGCTTCACCAAATGTCCCTTTTTATATTAAAGCTTTGAAGTTTTTGAATGAAGCTTCAAATGTTATATTTTATGATATTTTCACGAATCTTCAATTTGATAAAGATTGTTCATCAGATCAAATACAATGTTCTGGTCATACAAAATAAATGTATGATTCTATCAGACCGCCTTTTATACCAGGTGTGTGCCGCTCTTTGTCTGCTAAATGCTAACAAATACGGATTTGAGCATAATATTTGTGTACATTTTGGAGATGATGATCCATCTTTATGCCATATATCTGTTTCGTTTTAAGTCATTCGAATTGTTTGGATCACACAATCCTGAAAAAGACGTTTAGTTTCAACAATAGAAAACTAAAGTATGCAAAGAGATTATAAAAAACAAAGATGACCTCAGTCTAAATATTGGTTATCTCTTAATCTATCCTGTCTTTGGTCTTTTTACAGAGAAACGGATGGTGAAATGAACTTCCAGAAATCCACTGGAGCCTTAATCTCAGACAAAGACCGGGAACTGGAAACTCTGAGGAACGAGGTATTCACACGTGACCTTTACAAATTCTTTAGAAACGTCACTCTTCTCTCAGCTTGATGAGGGTTTCATATGTTTCTGTGTTGCTGCAGATCGCCGCACTTCGAGGAGAAAACGCCATGGCCAAGACGCTGCATTCGGCCGTGGAGACGCTGGAGAGAGACAAAGCTCAGCTGCAGAGCCGAGTCCACAGTCTGGAGCAAAGGCTCATGGGATCACAGGCCTCAGAGGGAGAAGACTGGGAGGCTCCACCCTCAGGTGAGGAGAGGAGGAGAAAACATGAACTCTGCTCTGGTGAGGATATTTTTGTTTTTGTCAACCTGTTTTCTGATGCTCCTGCAGGCGACACAGCGCTGGAGCAGCTGAGGGAGGAGAAGGAGTTCGCCGAGGGGCAGGTAAGACTGTCAGGACGAAAAGAAATTCTTACAAAGGTGGGATTTTTAAAGGGTTTGAAAGGCCAAACAAAGAAAGGTGGAGAAGATAACAAAAATGTATGTTCTCAGCTTTTATCTGTGCCCACTTGAAGGTGATCTGTGTCTCGCTTCGTCTCCATCAGATAAACTTCCTGAACAGTGTGATCGTGGATCTGCAGCGGAAGAACGAGGAGCTGAAGATCAAACTGAAGAAGCTCGCTCTGGCTGAGTTCAACGGCAACGACGACACTGATAAGTAAGGGATATCAAATGAAGCTTCTCTGTGTTCTTATGTTATTGCAAATTGATACAATCATAACAAGTCATTGAGAAAGTGATTGGCTGATTAAAGAAAATGAAAAAAAGTCATAAGCAGAAGCCTTACCTGCCTAACCACACTTTGCTTAAATGAGAGAAAATGAACATTGATACCACTCATCATGTCTGTCTGTTAAACGTGAAGTTACAGCCAGGCAAAGTTAGCTTGGAGGCTAGAAGGCTGGAAACAAGGACAGACAGTTAGTGGTTTTGTCCTACAAAATATGCATACAAGCCCCCTGAAGTTCATTATTTAACCCATTGAAGGCTTTATGTGCAGAAATATTGTGATTTTTACACTTTTGATTTCCTTTCAAGTTATTAAACAAACATCTGAACCCTGGTTACTGTAGATTTTTATTAAACAAACGGGAAATATTGTATTTCTTGTGGACTATTTCTATCTGCGGATGAATCCATATTTGGTACTCTTTGTTACGGAGGGATGGTGTACTATATGTGGGATTGAGTTCAAATAAACTACATTGTGTGTGTTCATGCTACTGAAGTATGTACAGGTCACCCAGTGAAACAGTGTGGCTATGATGGAAGGAGAGGGAGAAGATACATCACACACATGACTCTTTTCTCTGCCGCAGGTTTGATGACGGTGAGTCAAAGCGGGAAAAGAAGGCGACTCCGCGTCTGTTCTGCGATATCTGCGACAGCTTTGACCTCCACGACACGGAGGACTGCCCCACCCAGGCCCAGAGCCCCGACTCGGTGCCCCACACCACCTACCGAGGCAACCCGGCCGACGAGAGGCCGTACTGCGACTTCTGCGAGGCCTTCGGACACGCCACCGAGTCCTGCAACGATGATCAGACCTTCTAGTAGCTCCAACAGATATTTACCGGCATTTAAATTCCTTCCTTTTCCTCCTAAACTCACCTTTTCACCCTCCAGCTTAATTCCCGTCAGATTTTTTCGATATTGTATTTTTCTACTGTATTTATGCATATCACTGGTAGCCACTGTCCTGGTCTGAATCTCTACTCTGCAGCTTTTCTCTGAAGATAAACTGTAATGCACAACGCTCGTCCAAATATACTACGCAATATTGATGTTTATAACAAAAAGGAATCCGTCCTCTGCACTCAACGTTTTTATCGTGCTGTTTTGCATTTAAGTTTGTTTCTGTTGTTTTTTAGGCTTTATTTGATATTTAGCAGAGAATGATGCAACTTGATTAAGCACAGTTTAAATAAGGGAAAATGAAGCACCTCTATATTACTGTCTTAAGTAACACATTCCTCAAGTCTATACGGCTGCAAAAATCAGACAGATACTGCCATGTCTAACTTTTTACTAATTTTATAATATTTACTAATATGTTAGTAAGTGCTTCTTCCAGCATATCCACCTAAAATGAATTATAAGGTCCAGGAAAAATATAAACTAACATTCTAAAGAAATGAGGCATAATGTTCTGAGAAAAAAGCTGAATTATACAGGAAGTCATCAAATCTAATCGCATTAATTATTTGAAAAAAATTGTTATTTCCAAATATTTTACGACAAATTATTAAAGCATTATACTCAAAAGATTTTGAATAGACACCTGTCTTATTGTTTAAATATTATGACTGTATAATATAACTGATTGTGGCTTTTTCTTTATTTGATATTCTTTTGTATTTTTAGTGGCCCTATAACTCAGTCATTATCAACCTAAATATTAATCTATGTAAAACCTCTAATACTTTGAGTAAATGTCAGTCTTGACGTTGGAAATGGTAGCTTCCCAGGTTTCTCAGTGAACGCCATGAGATGCAAACAAAGACAACAAACTAATTACATACACCTTGACTTAAAGGGACAGATTTTACACAGGAAGGTCAGTTTACTCGTTTACATTTGGTATGAAGTCACAGATTTATGTTTGGACAAATCCATCTCACTATTAATATCTTCGTCAGCCTGCACCAGGAATTTTGGGTGTTAAAGTAAAATAAATTCAAAGCACTTTAAGGACGTCTGGTCTATAATGGTGTAGACTTTGAGTTTTAAAGTTCATCGACATGTGCAGAACAGACACAAAATGAACCACTTGATTAGATAGATTTGTGTTGTCTCATTTCCATAGATCATCATTCAGGTTAATATTCTCGATGAATGCCACTGAGAGCTCCAGAGGTTTCGTTGATGATGACGTTGTTGCATTTTGTTATTTATTGTCTGATGTTTGGCTAACCAGTGACATTCCTACAGGGACATAAGCTAGCACTGATTAAAGTGTAAAGTCTGAACTAGGACCACTAGACGGGCTTCTGAAATGCAAACGCCTCATGTTACAGAATGAAAACTAACCAGATAAAACTATAGAAGCCTCTACACTAACTTAATTTTGTTTGCACTGTCCACTTTAAAGATTCAGCCGAAACAAACAGCGCTTTAACTTTGATTCTAAACAAAAGTGCATTTATTTTAAGAGTCAGTACAGATTATTCCATCCCATTTCATACTGCCCTCTTTTAACTGGTTTGACATTTTTTGGAAATACACCTATTTGCTTTCTGGTGGAGAGTTAGATGGGATGATCGACACTACTCTGTCTGTATGACAAATATGAACCAAGTTAAGGCAGGTTAGCTTAGCTTAGCACAAAGTGTGTAAACGTTTTTTAGACACTGGTTTTCCTACAGGTTAACTAATCAAGATGTTAAAATTAGAGGTGCTGAAAGGCAGATGTAGTCTTATACTGTATTTACAGGGTAACTGCAACAATTTGACACCTAAAGTCTGTATCGAGGTTTTGGGGAGTAAAGAAAAGTACTTAAAAGCTTCTAGTGTCTCCAGGTAAAAAACAGTTTTCCCACAGAATGGTGTTTCCATACATCTAAACTGCATGTTTAGTACATTTTGAGGAAATGATATTGCCTCCCTGATTATGGTCGCAGTTTTAAACATGAGGTTAAGGTTGTAAATGGGAACAAAACAAAACAACAGACTTAATTAACAACCAGATATTTAAATGTTCCTTGCATTCTTTTTAACACAGGTCAACATGCCACATGAATCTGTTAGTTGGTAGTCTGGTTGCATTGTGGGTAATGCAGGTGCCAAGTTTTTAGGAGGAAGAGGAATATTTTATTTTGAGAAAAATGAAAGCTGGTTCTGCTGCAGCTTATTTGAATCTTTCCTTATTTACAGTCCATCCTCGGTCTGATCATTTAATAAGTGCAATAATACGGTTTATCTTTAGATAACTCCTTTCATAGACAGATATTAAAGTTGTATCAATCATTTCAACTACCTCTAAGAAAGTGAACATATTTCCCAGAAAATGTCAAACTATTATTTTAAATGTAGCCTGTGTAGCGACTTGTATTTGACTCCTCTTGTTCTTAAGCACAATATTTGGATCATATTGAATCTTCCCGTGTAACAGTGTATTTTAATACATGTGACTAACCTTTGTAAATACTAATCAGAGGCGTCCTTCTGATAAATGTGTACACAGTGCCATGAGACAAAAGAAAGCTTTTATGTGTACAACATTTTATTTTTCTGCCCTGTTGTATAATGCGAGAGAAAAACAACATTTGTATAGACTTTAAAACATTGTGTACTTTATAAGTGATGCGTCTAATTATTATTATTAGTGTAATGTTTTATATATGTAACTATTTCAGGCACTATCTAGAAATGGTTTGGAAACTATTTTACAGATGTTTACGTGGTGTAAGATGTCACTGTTTTCTATGTTCTGTATACTCCTGAGCAGTCCAATAGAAACACTTTAAAACAAGCTCATGCTCATGTGGTTTTTTCACTCTAGCAGAAAACACTCTCAGATATATTTAAAGCAGTATTGGCACAATGTAGAATAACTACAAGTAAAAGTCCTGCATTTATATATTTGTTAAGTTAAAAGCACATTGACACAAGTTCTTTGTATCAAAAGTCCTGAAAAGAATTGTGTGAGATGCAACAGTTGTACAGGATGGACACGTTTCAAAGATGTTAGATTTAGGTCAATCAATTATTTAAACCTTTATAATAATAAAGAAATATAATATATATATAAAACGTAAACTAGTACTACAAATGGTCTAACCCTTCCGTCCAAACATTGAACACAAAGACCAGAAACTTTTGTGAATTTTATTAAGAAAACCATTGGACATAATAAAAACCAAGCACTACTGATGGAATAAATAAGTCAAACCAAACCATAAATCTGTACAAGATCTAAAGTCAAACAAACTGGTCCCGATAAGAAAAAAACAACATACAAGATATTATATCACAGCTCTTTTTTTCTTTGTTTTTTTAAAACACAGTTATGAGCAAACTATAAGCAATCGGCTCAATCAGGTGAAAGCTACAACATAGGTGAGATTTTTTAAACAGAGTGTACATAATGCTGTTTATAACTGTTAATGTCAATACATAGCATTTTAAGTTCCAGCGCTGCTGGACTGGGAATGAGGTATATGCTAATCCATCCTCTAAACTGAGACAATTGTTTTTTTTCTTTTCTCTCCATCCATGTGAATGCTGATTTGTTGAAATCTGATCAAGTAATTCCGCATCATGAAGTACTTCTTATAGCCCCTGTTATGTCATGAAGTCATTGGTTTGCAGTGATTCAATCCATATTCAGTAAATATTAATGAAAGTTAATGTGTGAGGTTGTTCATTACGAGGTCACAGGTCTGAATCCGCTTTTTTGTCAATATAAAGTTCAAGTAAATTGCACAAATCTGCACGAAAACCGAGAGCTCGATGCCACACGTGTATGGATTCAGTCGATAGAGAGCACCGTAAGGAGAGTCACAAACCAACGCTCGAGCTAAAGACCCTTCTGTCAGAGATAGTAGCGATACGCAGAGATGAGAAGTGAGTCAGTACAGGTTATGATAGTGGAGCAGACGGAAACCAGTCCCACAAACTGCTCTGTCTCTACTTTGGAGGAAGAAAGAAAAACGTCCCCTGAAGTAGACACAGACCAGAGACTCCGATTCAGGAGGTTTGCAGATGTTTAAATGTGCGGCAAATGTAAATTATTCTGGGTAGTGTTCACATTCCAGTCTACAAATGTTTTAAAGGAATAGTTCCACATTTTGGGAAAAAACACTTTCATGACTGTGCTGAAAATATAAAGCCACAGTCCAAACATAGTTAGCTTAGCATAGCACACAGCCTGGAAACAGATAGTCTGACTCTTATTGAAGGTACAAAAGTCCAACTTTATAATAATCTGGAAAATATCTTCTTTGTTTTCATACTAAGACAAAAAGCTTATTCCTCTAAAGCTCATTAATTTAAATATTATGGTCTTGTACTTTAATCTGTATTAAAAACAGGAGTTTACAAACTATTAGGCTAGCTTCCTTTTGTTTCCAGTCTTCATGCTAAGCTAACAGCTTTACATTTAACATACAGAGTGGAATTGAACTCTTGATAAGTGATTATTACAAAAATTAACCATTCCTTTAACAAAAAAACAAGTGTTGCAGTTGATTATAAATATTGGATTACACTAATAAGTGATGATTATAAGGGAAAAAAACAAACATGGCACCAAAATTGTAATTCAAGAGCGGCTTGACCTAAAGCGTGTTTTTAAATCGTAGCCACTCAAGGCACACCTTCGTGATCTACGCCACCTATGCCTGTGCTCACTACATATCCAAGAGTTTATCTCGACCAGTACCATCTCCTTCTACAAACCACAAACTAATTTAAAGATATGAATGGAGAACTTTTCATGGATAGAGAAAAAAGACTTCCACTACAACAGAAAATCTATCTGTGATCGATTGTGACATACCATAACAGTGCATTGACCCTCCTGAGAAAAAAACCCTAAACGTTTCCTAAACAAATATAGAACATTAGTCTAACAGGAGGCGAATCGGGAGGATTGAAGTGACGTGGTCTTAGGGTGGAGGTTCCCCCCGGTAGCCGCTGATCTGACACCCAGTTAGCCTCTATCCCGAGCTAACCGTTAGCAGTAAAATGTGTTAAAAACGGTTTCAGATTAGCGCCTGGGACCAACCTCGTCCTAATCTCAGATCCCCAGTGTTAACTCTTTTCAGTCACAGATGCAGGTCAGTGTTTGAGGGCTGGCCTGGCGGGGGGTCACAGAGGGGTCTGCAGCCCGGGGTCAGAGCTTCTCTTGGCATTAGTGAAGAAGTGTGGAAGGAAGCACGGAGGGGGGACCAGCGAATAGAGGTAATATCCATCCTCCCTCTGTGGCAGAGGAGTGTTAGGGCAGACTGGAGGAGGGGAAGAGAGACGTCTGTTCCCCTTTCGGTTTTGAGAAAGGGAGGTGGGGTGGTGAGAGGAGAGCCGGTGCGTCCATTAGCCCTAAATTATCTAGAGGTAATGGAGGGAAGGGCAGAGGGAGGAGAGGAATGACTCAGCTCCAAACATTTAACTCTCCTCAAAGTCTGGAGACGAGGACTCCAGTTTGGTTTTCTTGCTGGGTGGGGTGTCCTCATCTAGGTCCTAAAACAGAAAAGGAAATTAAAAAAAATATGAATCATAGACACTTTGTTTGGTTTTGGAAATATTTGCTGTGATTTTTGCTACAAAACCAATAAAATGGAGTAAAATAATTTCTAAAACATTAGATTTAAAGATGTTGTGGTGCTCACAGCATCGGGAAATAAGGCAGCAGTTTTGTTTCTTAAAAAATAGATAGTAATTTGCCATTGATATATGGTAGTAGTAGTAATAATAATAATAATAATAATTTCAGATACTGATGAGTTTTGAAAGTAGTTTGGGGACATGTTTGTACCTGAGTGGCTTTGCTGTCTGAAGAGTCCTTCTCCCCCGAGGGCAGAAGGTCTCTCTTGGCACTCGGTGCTCTCTCTGAGGTCTCTGATGAAGACGTGGTCTTACCTGAGGAATAAAGAAACATAAAAAAATTAGAACATGGGAGCATTTATTTATCTGGCAGTGGAGGACTGAACAATGTTGTTGTCGGTGATGTGTTGGGGATGGCTTGTTCCTGACCCTTTAATGACACAGTGTGGTGGTGTGGAGTAACTGCACGGTGACATGGAGTCATTTCAGACTAAACAGTTCAGTTTAGTTTAACAACAAGGATGGAAAGATCAAAACTGGAAACATTAAGATTTAAAAGCTAAAGAGAAAAAGACATTATCAGCAAATATTCTGATTATTTATTTTTTCATAAGCAGAAATAAGTCGTTTTTTAAAGCAGAAATTCCCCTAAAACCTGCTATTTTTACTTTCTCAACTACTACTATTTGCCGTTTTTCTTATGGCAGTTCATTAGTTTCAACGTTCAACAAAACAAGCAATTGGAAGTCACCTTTGCCTTTTGGAAATGTGAAGAGCGCATTTTAAGAATTATTTTCTGAGTCACATTAATATCCTATATTCATCTGTTGCAGCCCCGCTTTGCATAGATGGGTTCATCCGTCTGTTCAAGTGATGGCTTTGTGTTATTCAGACAGAGGAGTTATAGAAACCTTAATGAATGATAATCGGGCGTGTGAGGAATACAGAGTCCACTAACACATTTTATTATAAAATATTTATCATTTTAGGTTCATCAGACAGCAAATGTTGCTGCCTTTTTATTATGTACGATGTGAAAAAGATTTGAAAAACAATATATTGGATATCTTATTTAGAGCTGAGACGATTGGACGAATTGTTAAAAAAGAAAGTAAAGAAAAAGTGCTTATTTTTTATGACAACCTGCTAGTTTTCTGTTAAATTCCTATTAAAATAAGAGCAAGTCGTGATGTTTCTGGTCCCGACATTAGAAGATTAGAGCAGAAAAACAAAAACAGGAAGAGGCTAATCATGCATCTGATCAGCCACACGACCACCTGCTAGCTGTCTGTTGAGTTAGAAAGAATGATGTTTGTTGATGTTGGCGGTGTGAGGGTGACTGACCCCTCTTGCTGTCCGGGCTCTGGTCGCTCTTGATCTCGCTGCTCTCGCGGTGAGACGTGGCGGAGGGCTCCGGGGTCGGGCTGGTGCTACAGCTGTTCTCCTGTTTCACCGGGGAGGAGTCAGCGATGGAGCTCTGGTTGCTATTGTCATCTAGAGAAGACGGAGAGGAGTACATGTTGTTGTTTTTGTAGGATTGTTAAACATTGTTAAATAAGAGTGAGTAAAAGACACTGCAAATCCATGCCCTTTAAGGCTTTCACTACGTACCGTGCATGTCCATCATCCCTGGAGAAGAGCTGTTCTCTGGAGTCGTCAGCTCTGAGCCGTATTTCTCATCTTTACCTTTCTTCTTGTTTTTATTTTTCTACAAAAAGGGAAAAAGTATATGTTGTAAAAAAAAAAGAAGCAATTTCCATGCTTTACTGGAATATAACAACCTACAAACACGCCTGCTGAAAACATTAAGTTACATAGTGTGTTCACTTTAAAGGACAATTATAACCCCTTAAAGAGGCTGAACTCACATCCTCTGATTTGGGCTCCGTCACTGGCACCCACTTGAAGATGCGAAGGGACGTGTCTCCAACAGTCACCCATTTCTTCTCCCTGTGTAGGATAAATAAAAAAGCTGACTCAAAGGCTATAGGGCATCATACAATTAAGAACATTACCTTGGTCTTATAGTGTTTAGATAGATTGTTAGTGAAAATGACACAATGCAGAAAGATAAAACAACTTATCATATTTTAGCAGCTAGAGTTGGGTGAGCGTAGGGCAGTTTTTTGCTAAATGACTACTCAATGTCTGTGAATGGAGACTGTTAGGATTTACACAGCATGAGTATATCCCATTATTAATAAATAG